CGCGGGACGTCTCTCGGCGCTCTCTTGAGCCGCCTTTTAGGGCTCTTGGGCTGTGTATTGGCTGTGTTGGGCCCATCTGGGGCCACGTTGGGGTCATCAGGGCCGTCTCGGAGCGCCTTGTCGCCTCCCGCTCCCGCTCTGGGGCCCAGCTTGGGCCTGTCCTGGGGCTCTCTTGGGCCGTCTGAGGCCCCCCCCCCAAGCAATTTTCGGGCTCCCTGGGGCCATCTTGGGCCTCAGTTGGTGACCTCTTCGGCGGTCGTAGGGCGGTCTTGGGGGCTTCGTCGGCCGTCTTGGAGCGTCGGAAGGTCGAAAACGCGAGACACCGAACACCATTAACAAACAACATTGAAAAGTAATGATTTGGGCCTTTTCGGGCGAGCTCGGGATGCTTCTCGGAGCTCTCTTGAGGCCTCTTGGAGGCCTTTTGGGCTGAGTGTTTGCGGTCTCGAACCCATCTTGGGCCACGTTGGGCTATCTGGGCTGTCCTGGAGGGGCTTGTCGAAGTCCCCGAGGGCTTCTTGGAACTCTGGTGCAGTCTGGGAGCTCCGGGGCCGCTCAGGGGTGCTCTGGGAGCGGTCTGCGGGCCGATCTCTCTCTCTCTCTCTCTCTCTCTCTCTCTCTCTCTCTCTCTCTATATATATATATATAAATACATATATACACACATATGTACAAGACTGCAGTGGCGCTTCGCGCTATGCATCTTGGTCCTTGAAGTTTGGTTTGCAGGCGAAATGGCAGGAAGGTCCAGCCGACAATTTAGCGATAACTCCTTGTTGCCTTTTTTTGGCATCACCGTTATAGTAATGCTATGTTGTTCGATATCCTTCCTCCATGTTTCTTTTTCCTCATTCTCCCATACCCTTCGCATTTTCCCCATCCTCCTCAGCTCTTTTTGCGGAGGTTCCTTGGGGAGCCTCTGGGAGTGTCACACAAGTTTTTCAAGGTGCCTTAAAGTCTTCTGGAGGCCTCCTGGGCGTGTTCTGAGGGCCTCTGGGGTCTTCCGCGGGCCACCCTGCCTCCAACCGCGGTCTCCCTGACCGACCGGGCTACGATTTGGAATGCTTCGGAGGGTGTCTTAGGGCCGCCACGCGTTCTTGGATGGCAATTTTTTTTGGGCGCAATTCGACACGGAGCACGTGCTCGAAACGCTGGAATTTGCCCACTCATGCGGTCGGGAACTTTTGCTTAGCGTGTCGCGGCGGCTGCCCCAGCGACACACTCCGGTCAAGCAATCTCGTCGCCGTCGTCTGAGTCCGCAATGCGCTGAGAGTAGATGCTCGGACTGACAATAATGGCGCAGGAGACCAGGCAGCTGACCGTGGCAATGATGACGACGGAGGCTGCCTGGTTCCCCCATGAAGTGGTATCCTCCGCCGTCTCAACGGCGCTTGACTGGCTTGAAGTGCTCGACATGCTATTGGTGTTGGTCGTGGCCGTCTCACTGGTCGTCACCGTCGTTGCCGCTAGTGGCGCTGGCGTCGGCGCACTCTCAGAGGTCGTGTGCGGAGTGATGGTGGAACTCAAGGTCGTCGAAGAACTCGCAGAGGTGGTGTGCAAAGTCGCGGTGGAGCTCGTGGAACTCGCGACGTCAAAAATACAGTAGAGCTTGAGCTCTCAGAGGTCGTGTGCGGAGTCGTGGTGCTCTCAGTCTGAGTGGTCGTGTGCGGAGTCGTGGTGGAACTCGCGGTCGTCGAAAAAGTCGCAGAGGTCGTGTGTGGAGTCGTGGTGGAACTCGCGGTCGTCGAGGTCACCTTTTTGACAAAACGTATGATACTGACGCTGGCTGGGGCCAGTATCAGCGGTCTGAGTGCATAGGTAAGCATAAGACCCATATCCGAATGCATAGGCGAAGCATGAACAAGTGGGATCGAGGTCGCAGGCGGCAACGACGTCCGCTTCTACCACTTATTTGACCATTGAAGCTGCTGCAAGTCGCACCAATCGCACAACTATATCCCGTCGGCGCGTCCGGGGGAGGGAGGTCAAACACGCACGCGAACCCGCCTGCAATGTCGAGGCCAATGTCATACTTGCTCCCCACCACCACCCGGCCCCATCGGCGTTAACGGCCACCGAGACCCCGAACTCGTCGCGGGAATCGGCGTCCAGGGCCACAAGCTTCGCCAGTTGCGCGCCGCTGGCCCCGTCGAACACGTACACGGACCCAGACGCATCCCCGGCGTCGTCGTTCTTTGGGGCCCCCACCACCACCCAGGACCCGTCGGCGCTCACGGCCACCGAGTGCCCGAACTTGCCGTATGCGCCCCCGTCCGCGGCGACGAGCTTCGCAAGCTGCGCGCCGTCGGCCGAGTCGAATACGCACGCGGACCCGAACGATTTCCGGGCGTTGTTCTAATAGGCCCCCGCTACCGCCCGAGACCATTCTGCGCTCACGGCCACACGAAGCCCGAAGCAGTCGCCGGCGGCCCCGCCCAGGGGCACGAGCTTCGCCAACTGCGCGCCGCTGGCCCCGTCGAACACGTATTACTAGCCTGGAACATATCTCTGTCCCTATGCTGGGCATCGCCCCATCACGATGCCAATCTTAGGGATTCCCTCAGTTTTTGAGGGCGCACCCCTAAGATTGTCATCGCCTTTCGGCGTGTCGGCGTGTCAATCTTAGGGATAGGGGTAAGTTCGCGGATGGTGATGAACGCACGCGGACCCTGACCCGTGTGCCCAGGCCTCGGCCCCCACAGCGACCGGGGCCCTGTCGCCGCTCGCGGCCACCGAACGCCCGAAGTGTGTTGGCCGTCGGCGCCGTCCGCGGCGACGAGCTTCGCAAGCATGGCGCCGCCGACCCCGTCGAACACGCACGCGGACCCAGACGAGGTCCCGGCGTCGTCTTCCCACGGAGCCCCCACCATCACCCGGGCCCCGTTGGCGTTAACGGCCACCCAGCGCCCGAACTCGTCGCGGGAACCGGCGTCCAGGGCCACGAGCTTCGCCAACTGCGCGCCGCTGGCCCCGTCGAACACGTACGCGGACCCAGACGCATACCCGGCGTCCTCGTTCTTGGGGCCCCCACCACCACCCGGGACCCGTCGGCGCTCACGGGCACCGAGAACCCGAAACAGTCGTATGCGGCCCCGTCCACGGCCACGAGTTTCGCCAGCTGCGAGCCGCCGGCCCCGTCGAACACGTACGCGCGGACCCAGAGTTGGTGCCGACGTCGTCATTCCACGGAGCTCCCACCACCACCCGTGCCCCGTTGCCGCGCACCGCCACCGAGAACCCGAACAAGTCGTATGCGGCCCCGTCCGCGGCCACGAGCTTCCCTAGCAGCATAACGTCGGAAGTCCCAATCATCCGTCGGCTGGGAGCATGGTCGAAAGTACCCGTCTGAGCTAGTGTCGGTAGTGTTGGTGTCGGTGGTGGAGCGGGCGTCGGCGGTGCTGCTGGTGTCGTTGGTGGTGCAGGCGTCTGCTGGTTCTGGACGTAAGTGCAGGCCCTGCTGTCCGTTCCCTCCCAGTTCGTCACGATGTCATCGATCGCACTGTAGCAATACCGCACTCCAGTGTCCGTACACCCGGTGCCATGCAGGGCACGGCAATCAGGATCTGCGTTGCACGCCACTTCAGCATCACTCCTGGAGGACATGGTGCTGTAGCACAGACCCGACCACGCAGAAGTGGCCACTCGCGGGCCATCCATGTACAATGCTTCGGTGATTGCGGAGGTCTCTGTCGCATCGCTGGTGACCGTTGTAAGACACATCGGCAAGACTATTAGCATCACACACTCATGCTCGGGCGAGCATCCGCAACCTCCGTAAAACGTTGACCGCGATCTTGCACGCAATTCCAACGTTGGGCTGTAGCTGCTGCCATGTAGAACGCGTGGTCCTGCTGCTGCTCCTGGTGCTCGTCGCGCTGATCACAGTGGTCCTGCTGGTTGCGCGGGTGCTCCCGCGCGTTGTGCTGTCGGTGCGACTAGTTTTCGTCACTGTGGTGCTGCTGGTCGCCTCGGGCAAGCCGTCGAGCTTCAGGCCGGACCAGGGGCTCGGAGGAGCCGGGAACTAGACGTACTCGGTCGCGTGTCTGGGATCGATACCGTGGTCTTCGGGCGGAGCCGCAGGCAGCTTGGGCTACTGCTGCTTGAGCCAAAATGGATACGGGGCCCTTGGAGGGCCATTTTGGACCCCTGTTGTGCCGTTGTGGGGCTCTCTTGGACTACCTGGAAGCCGGCTTCGAAAGGGCCCTTTCGGGTGGTCATGGAGCGATTTGGAGCCTCCCAGGCAGCTTCGACCCCCAGAAAACCGCCGCAGTGGAGCGTCGGGAAGTCCAAAAGAGGAGAACCCCAAAATTCATTAAAAACCCAAAGAGGATCCATGATTTCTGCCCCCCTTGGGGCCTTCTTGGGAGTACTCTTGGAAGCCTCTTGGGATGTGTTGGAGCGATCCTTGGGGGGTACGACGGCTTCTTGGGGGTCGTCGTGGACCGTACTGGGGCTGTCTGGGGTCGTTTCGGGGATGCGCCGGAGCGCCTGGACCCCGTCTGGGGCCGTCTTCGGGCTCTCGTGAGATTCTCCCGGGTCGTCTGAAGGGTTGCCCGGAGGCCCAGGGAGGGCCAAATCCGTAAAAGGGGGATGGGGGCGCCTTTTTCCAGCGACCCCTACCCTATAAGCATATATATATATATATATATAGTTGTACCTATATATGAATATACACATATACACGTATATGCTGTATGTTCTTCTTGCTGTTTTCTGTATATGTGTGAAACACACAAACACACACACACACACACACACACACACTTCTTTTTTTACCAGCTCGAGTGGGCGCCCCGTGGCTTAGGAGAGGAGAGGAAAGCAACAGAGGGGGGAAGAACAAGACGAGAAGCAGCAGCAGCAGCAGCAGCAAGCAGCGCAGACAGTCCCCCCCCCCACAAACACACACACACACAAACGCACACACACACACAACAAACAAAAACAGAAAACACAACAAAGCACAGCAGAGCAACAGAACATGAGAAAGCGGCCCGTAGCTCCTGCGCGGCGACGTCGGAGGTGGGATCCTGCAGCGCCGGTTTCGTCTTCTGGCGCAGGGCCTCTGCGCACGGGGGCGCGCGCCCCGAGCGGCCCACCTCCGACGCCCCGCGGCCCCTCCGCCGCCGCGCCCGACGGCCCGCTGCTCCGCCGCCTCCTCCGCCGCCTCCTCCGCCTCGTCCGCCCCTCCTCCGCAGGGCCGCTGCAGGGCTCGAGCGAAGCAGCGTTTGTCCTCCTCCGTTCTGCGGTCCGGAAGGAACAATCCGGAGGAGGAGGAGGAGGAGGAGGAGGAGGAGGAGGAGGAGGAGGAGGAGGAGGAGCGCTCTGCCTCTGCCGCGGAAGGAAGCATCCAAACGACGGCGGTCCGCGAAGTCGCCAGAGCACCGCTTCGCTCGAGCCCTGCTCGCTCCACCTCCGCCCTCCCGCACCTCTCGCGCGGCAGATGCCGCGCAGGGGCCGCGCCTGCCGTGGGGAAGGTTCGGAAGGTGAGGTCGAGGGCTCCTCCTTCCTCCTGCTGCTGCTCCTCTCCTCCCTCTCCCTCTACTTGTTTACTTGGTGCCCGCGCAGTGGCTATCAGCTTCATGGACCTCCCCTTGCAGGTGAAGGATGGTGCCCGTACACGTTCGTGGTTCTGCCACTGCTGCGGTAGGGGTCGACTTGTGGCCACCGCGTTCCTGGCTAGCAATGCCAATTGATGATCTGGAGGTTCTCACGGGCAGCTTGAGAATGGTTGAGGAGGCACTTAGCTTTCCATCGCGGTTTGCCTCATGACTGTGCTGCCTAAGTCTATCTCGGATAAGCGTGCGGCCGGTAAATGTCAGAGTCTCTACCGTACTTACTGGGCACATTGAGCCAGTGACACCGATGAATGGAAACATGAGCACATTGATATCTGGGACTTTGATGTCAAAGGGTCCTCGGCGCAGGAGGCAGCACTGTGTCGAGAGCTGGCTGGGGTGGTTTCTCTGACGAGTCGTTGCATTGGGATCGCAAGAAGCTCCTTGGCTCGGCGAGCCCAAGTAGATGGATCCACCTGGCCTCCAATCAAGGACATCCTGGGCACCTGCTGTGCATAGAGCTCCTCACCAACACCTCTCCGAAACTCTTCGCAAGTTCAGGGGGCGCCTCGAGGGTGTTGGCTGCTGGGGAGTACCCGACGAGGAGGAGGAGGAGGAGGAGGAGGAGGTGGAGGAGGAGGAGGAGGAGGAGGAGCAGTTAGAATCTGAGAACAGGCCCGCCGACCCGCCCTGCCTGCAGACCGCGGCCGCCAGATCTCCAGGTCCATCGAGCATCCCCGAGACTCCCGCCCCTCCCGACCCGACCCGCCCACTCTTGAAGGGGAACTGGGACACACAAATAAATATAAACAAATATTTAGATTCCACATATGTGTCCATCTTTTCTGGGTTGTTGTCTTCCCCCCCACTTCCCATATCTTCCCATATGTTCTGGGGAATCGCCGATTAATTGTGTCTGTGTGTTTTCCTTCCCTCCTGAACTCTGCATATCGCCGCCGCCAGATGTCCAGGTGCACCGAGAATCCGGAGGCTCCCGCCCCTGTGAGCATGGCGCGTCATAACTAACAGCGCGGAGCACAGCAGAGCGTAACATGACAGAACAGAGCAGACCCACTGATCATAACAGCATGACCGAACAGGGCATAACGTAATACGGCATCACAGACCATGGCATATCATGGCAAACAACAACATGTCATGGCATAGCGGGGCCCATACAGAACACAAGCGGCCCCAACATCGAATCGATAAGTCGAATCGGTTCGGCCCGAACATCGAACCGTCAGAAAAAGCAGACATCGGCTGACACGTCGAAGTGGCAGACTCCGGCAAGGCCGAGGCGGACCGAATCGAAAACCGGATCGCGTCAAGCTGGGTGGGAGTCGGAGGCAGCATACAAGGCTCCCCCCCGGGCGGGGGCCCCCTCCGGGAGGAGGGGCCCCCTTCCAACCCAGACCCCCGACGACAGTGTCTTTTTATGGCGTCGAGCCCCAACTTGAGGAGTGAAAAAACGACCCTACCCTGGGTTGCAAGTGCGTGGTCTGTAAATTTCCTCGGAACCCCCAGAGCCTAGAGAGCCGCCAGGACGCCGCATATCACCCAGGGTTTACCCTGTCAGCCCAAAGGAGTTTCAGCGCACAGCGCCTCGTAAACCAGGGTAGGGGCGTTTTGTAAGTCCTTGACCAATGGTCTAGACCCATCCCCTGGGACCACCAGTGTTTCGTCCTGAGCCGCTTGTTCACGGCCCCGAAGCCTGGTGATGGCCTCCAGAGACCGAGTGTATCCTGCGAAAGTCCTTCCGTCGTGAGCTTTGTCCTGACTAGAGGGAGCCTGGGGAGAGGGGGGCGGGGGGCCTATGGCTCGTCTCGGATTTCCCGTGGACCCTGGCCTACGCGTGGGTCATACTGTGATGTGTGGTAGCCGACCAACTATTGAAGGATCAAGCAACGACCCTACCCTGGGTTACAAGCGCGCGGTCTGAAAACCTCCTGGGAACCCCCAAAGCCTAGAGCCGCCAGGACGCGGCACATCACGCAGGGATGACCCTGTCAACCCACAGGAGTTTCAGCGCACAGCGCTTCGTAAACCAGGGTAGGGGCGTTTTTTTGATGCCCTTGAAACCAGTGAGCACTCTAGTCAGCGGGCTGAGTTGCATGTGTTCCTGCTGCTGTCGCTGCACGCAAATCGCAGACACTGCCTGTCATTCTGATTCTGGTCGGGCCTAGGACAGAAGCACCACCGCCAAGAACCACGAGACCCTCCGCCGGCCACCACACACCAAACCATAAGATCACTCGAGGGTACCCTCCCCCAAGATGCACCAGAGCATACGACAAGCACTGGCCATCGCTCTGACGTCCATCCCCAGTGTTTTGTTTCGGTTTCGTGCGTGGTTTTTTTCGCCAGATGAGCAAGGATGCTCCTCGATGGTCCTCGCCGAAGGAAAAATGCACACGTCCGAGCGATGCCAAGAGCAAGATGAACACTAGCGTACCCTCCCCGAGCCGACCTCGATCTGACACTTCGGTCCGGCCGTGCCTGCCATTGGTGAAAGCAGCCATGCCGCCGCGAGCTCGGGCGGTTGCCAGCAAACCGATGCTTGACCTCTGGCCTCGGCTCGGCTCGGCCCCGGATCCGTGCGGCCCTGGCCCTGTCGAGGTGTTCTTGTGTGGGCTGAAGAGGCCTTCGACGGCCCGTCGAAGCGCCCAGCCCGCCATTGGAGCCGAGGAGTGTGTGTCCTGTCCTGGTGTGCCGGCTACTTTGCGGCTTGGGCGGCTGAGACATCCGACTAGCCACAACTGGGGGAGCTGTGGCCCTTACCCCCCTGGGGGAACCCATCGCATCGACGATCTCTCGAGAGGGGTGTCGAAATCGATGGGTCCCCCAGGGGGGTAAGGACTACAGCTCCCCCAGTTGTGGCTGGCCTGGACATGTGGCCCAACACCTGAGCCAGCCGACCTCACAGGGTTTGTGGAGCCCTCACCGTCGCCACATCGGACGGACTGCTCGCCGGCGAGTCAACGTCGTGAGTTCGGGCAGGCTCGGCCGCCCGCTTCCGCGCCCGACCACTCTCCCCTCCTTTTTGCTGTGAGACGCGAACGGCTGCGGAGAGCTGGCCGTGATGCCGTCAAGTGTGGCCTCTTCCTGGAGTGCCAGATGTGTGATCTAGGTGTTCGTTGAGAGGCCAAGTGCGGGCACTCTGTCCTGGACCCTGCCTGGTGTCTACGCATATTTCTTCTTGGAGTAGGGGATCGACTACAGAATTGGTTTACCCCAGAATTGGCTTCCTCGTAGAACCTACAAAAAACGTAGCATGTTTCATGCATTCGACGAGACAACCACTTCTGGGGCAAATCAATTCTGCAGTCGATACCCTACTCTACATCCCACCCCCTCAAGCACCCTATGTGCCCTCCGCGGGCCAGATCCCACCGCCTGCAGGCGCTCAGAGGGGGGGACCTACTGTGAGAGGTGCGGTGCTCACGCCGCTGTGACTGCTCAAGGCCTTGGCCAGCCTTGCAAGGCCATGGACCGGTGCCCTGCCAAAGCTGGGAGGGAGATGTTCTGCCGACTGTCTGCTTTCTCGGGGGCTTCCCCCCCAAAAGCGGAGGCTCCTCCACGCAGCTGTGAGCTGCTCTGCCCAGGCTGGACCTGGTCTCCACGGGCTTCCGACTCTGAATTCGCATCCCTCCTCCTCCTCTTGCGCTTCCTCCGTTCCTCTTCCACCCCCCTCCTGCCACCCATGAGCCTGGCGAACTCACCAAGGATTCACGCACCTGGTGAACTAGTCTTCCACCCCCCTCTGGTCACAGACAGGTCACTGACAGGTCCACTGACATGCTAATGACAGGTCTCTGGCAGGTCTGTGACACGTCGCTGATAGGGCACTGAGATGTGTCTCACAGGTCTCAGACAGGTCACTGCTAGGTACCTGACATGCCTGCGGACAGGTGCACGGGCATGTCCTTGTCAGGTCCCTGACAGGTCCCTCACAGGTCTTTTGCAAGCCATTGGCAAGCCCCTGCCACGACCCTGACTGGTCTATGATAGGTCCATGCAGGGTGTCTGGACGGGCGCGGCCCGGCGCAGCTATCGGCGACGACGGCGGCGACGACGACGCGGACCTCGGAGGGGGGCGGCGCTGGGGGGCCTCATGGGTGCCTGGAGGTATCGTCGTTAGTGTCCAATGCTGGGCCCCCTACAGCCCCGACGCGTTCCCAAGGCCGTGTTTACATCCTGGGTCCTTAATTGACGGCCTCAGGGCCAGGCACAAGAAGAGCCCCTGACCAGAGGGCGAAAACGGTGAAAACCATGTGTTCGAAACGTTGGATGTCTGCGCATTCTGGCCTCGGCTTGCGGGGCCTCGCGGATCTGTCAGGCCTGAGCTGGATCGAATCGCAGCAAGCGGATCGGATCGGAAACAGCTCGAGGCGGGCCTCAATCGGCGCGGAATCGGATCGGGATCGACCGCCTGGGATCTGTCGCGGCCCCTGCAGGCCCGCGAAGGAGTCGGCAGAGGGGGGAAAGCACAGGTACCGATACCACTACTCCCATAGCCTCTCCTGGGGCGCACTCTTCACCAGATTTCGAGGCCAATCAAGACGCGGTGACAAGGGAAGGGCAGCGGTACCGGTTGGAGAGACCCAGCGACACACACACACACACACACACACACCCACACACAAAAAAAAATGAACACAAATCCCAGGATCCCCCACATTTGTCAGCACGTTCTGGATGATCGCCCCTTCCCCCCCCTGCTGCCCATGCTTTCCCCTACCGTCCTGGGAGTCGGCGACGGTTTGTGCCTGATGGGTACCTTCTACTGATGGGTACCTGTGTCTATTCTTCTCCTGATTTGATGCACGATTTGTCCTGTGTCTATTCTTCTCCTGATGGGTATTCTTCCCCTTCCCCCCCTGCTGCCCATGCTTTCCCCTACTGTCCTGGGAAGCGGCGGCGATTTGTGCCTCTGTGTCTATTCTTCTCCTGAGGGGTGCCCTTCCCTCCTCTGGGTGATCGGCCTGTCGGATCGGAGTGGGCCAGGACTTCAGTTGGGCCTGTCCCCCTACATGGGGATTTTCGACGGAAAATAAAAACATACTCCAAAAATGATATAAAAAACAAACAAAAAATCCTCTCCCCCCCTGCTGCCCATCCTGTCCCCTACTGTCCAGGGAGTCGGCGGCGATTTGTGCCTCTGTGTCTGTTCTTCTCCTGAGGGGTGCCCTTCCCTCCTCTGGGGGATCGGCTTGTCGGATCGGAGTGGGCCAGGACTGAAGTCGGGCCTGTCCCCCTACAGAAGGAATTTTCGACGAGAAATAAAAAACACCCCTATATATATATGAATCCAAAAATAGTCTGCGGACTATTTTTTTGATACTTTTTGACCTTCTTGGGGTATTTTGGTGGTATTTGTTTATTTTTCCGTCGAAGATCCCCCCTGTAGGGGGACACGCCCGACACCAGCCAGGACGGGAGACGCATCGAGTCGGACCGCGGGACGCCCGGGCCGGCTCGCCGCCGGCCCCGCGCGAAGGGGGGCCTTCAGCTTGTTGCTCAGCACCGTGGTCGGCGCGTCGGTGGCCGGCTTCGCGAACCTGCGGGAGGCGGCCCCGGGGGGTCCGCCGAGCGGCGGCGTGCCGGGTCGGGCGAAAGGGGGGGATATAGCAAAGGGGGGGGGGGGGAGAATCAGCTCACGTAGCTGCTTTTCCCGGCGCCCCGGCGCCTCCCGAGGAGTGGGCCCCTCGGTGGGGCCGGAACCGGCTGCATGCAGCAGATTTCGTACCCCCCCCCGTTCCCAATCCCCCCCTTTCGTCCGGCCCGAGTGTGGTGCACGTGGGATGACGGCGCTTCGGCAAAGGACAACAGCAAGCAGACAGAAGCAGCTCACAGCATAACACTGGCATGAAGTCGGGCCTGTCCTCCTACAAAGGGATCTTGGACGAAAAATGCCTCAGAATGGTCAAATGATACTCGGAAAAGCGTCCTCAGACTATTTTCGGACTATTTTTCAGCATTCCTCCTGTAGAGGGACACGACTGACTTAATACTGGCAGCCTCTTGAGCGTCCACGTCGAGGCTTCTCACGACGGGCCGAAGAGGCAAGGGTGCAGGGGGAACCTTGGGAAGGTGACCCATCTTTATCATCGGTTTCGACAATACACATACGCAAAAGGAGGCGTTTCAAACAAGAGTCTCAGGCTAGCAGAACAGGGTTCGGAAGATCATAATTAAACCAACGACAACGACGCTCACGAACAGACCGAGAACCCAATGTGTGAATCGTCGCCCCGGGCGATGCTGCATGTGACGCCTCCCCCCGAGCATTTCTTGGAGCCCATTCCGGCGGTAGACCAATGTATCTGGTGCGGCGGGGGGGGTGCTGGCCGATACCTAACCTTCTCGCTTTGGGCAGCCCCACATATATGCCCGCGCGCACCAGAACTGTTTACTTCTTTTCCGACCTGCGCGACCTGCAAGGTCACGGTCAGAGGATCCCGGGAGGGTGTGGGGCGGGTGGGCCCAGTAACCCAGGTAATCGCCAGATCCGAAAACCAAACGGTCCCTTGATCGTCAGCCAGCATCACGCGCGTCCTTGCCCCCACCCGCTCCACGACCCTTCCTGGGCGGGGTGACGACAAGCGCGGGCGGCCTGCTAAGAAGGCCGGGGGCCTCCCAGAAGGCAGGCTGCGTCAAAGGCCAAGATGATTGCAAGAAGGCGTGTCAGAAGCCGGAGCTGCTTCTTAGACGGCTCATGGCTTCTTATGGTGAGGGAACAACGCAAGCTCAAGCCTGCAGGGAGGAGCAATAGGATAGGGCAGGGAGATGAAGGCGCTGTAGGTAGGGGCGCGAGTTGTTGGACCCCGAGGGGGGCTCCCGTTCGAGCAGGGACCCCCATCCGACAACACACACCCATAGCCCCACGAACCAGAGAAATCTGGGGCTCGCATAAGTATGGGCGCCTTATGTCGGCTCATAACCTTCGATGTCTTATAAGACACCAGCCATATTTCTTTGTTCTTGTATGATGTGTTCCTCCTCCTCCCGGCGCAGCCCCTCCTGCCATGGCCACGAGATGCGCGCTGAAACGCAGCGCTCGGGGACCGATGCGCATTTCAGGCGAGAATTCGCCGCAATGCAGGCTACGCCTCAGCAGCCGCACCACAACGAGAGGAAGCCGGAGAGGGGGCCAGTGCAGATGCAGGACGACGCCGCAGACACGACACCGGCCTTCTCCGGCCGCCCCCCCCTGGTGGGCGCCGCCAGCCTCCTCCCAACCTCTCCCCCCCCCGAGCTGGGCGTCGCGCAGAGTCCATGACAGCATGCAGCGTGTTGGGCCCTTTGTGGGCCCCGGAAACGGCAAGGCCGTTTTTTCACCGTTTCCCAAAAAAATGTCAATCGAAAATGGAAACGGCAACAAAAACGGCGACTGGAAACGGCAAAAAAAGGGCTCCCAAATTGGAACCGGAACCGGAACCGGTCAAAAAACGGCGACGGAACCGGTAAAAAAACGGCGTCGGAACCGGCAACAAAAACGGCAGCACGGAACCGGTAAAAAAACGGCCCTTTCGTTTCCAGGGTCCTGAAAACAGATGCACGTTTTGGTAGTTCTTGGCCTCCGGGGGGCCTCGTCTGTAGCCTCAGGTCGGGCATGTCCCCCTACAGGCGGATTTGGGTCGAAGAATTATACGCACGCAGAAAACACCTCAAAATAATCCAACAATGCTCAGAAAATTGTCCCCAGACTACGTTTTACTACTCTTGAAAATCCCTCCTTCGTCTCTCCATCTTGCCTCATCCCTCCCTCCCTCCGTCTTGCCTCCTCCACGTTCCCCCCTCAGTGCATATTCTCGGTTGCTTGATTCCCCACCAGAGGATCAACAGCAGCAGCAGCAGCAGCAACAGCAGCAGCAGCAGCAGCAGCAGCAGCAGCAGTAGCATGATCAGGGTGGTTAGATGGGCGAGAGGAGTAAGCAGATGCTTGCCTCAGGCCGCAGAGCGAGGCGCGTTGCGTGCAGGGCAATGAGATGCACCGAGTGAGAGCTGCCCTCACTCTGAGGCCCCAGGTGGAGCTCCCCGTGGGGCCACGACCCTCTCGAGAGGTCCGGCGGAATCGGCGGCGCCGCCATGCGGGCCCTCCCATGTGGGCCATAGGTGGAGCTCCCTGTGAGGCTACCACCCTCGTGAGAGGTGCGACAACATGGGCGGGGGGATCGCATGTGGACCCTCCCACTGGGGCCGCAGGTGCAGTTCCCTCTGGAGGCACAGTCCTCCCGAGGAACGTGCCGAAATGGGCTGGCGGACCGCATGCGGACCCTTTTCGCTGGGGCCGTAAGCGGGGCTCCCTACCTCCCTGTGACGGGTGCGCCGGCATGGGCGGCTGGAGCCGTAGGAGGCGCTCCTATGGAAGCAGTCGTCATGAGGGGTGCGCCGAAATGAGCGGAGGGACCCCATGCGGACGCACCCGTTGGGGCCGTGGGTGGAGCTCCCTGTCGGAGCACGATCCGCCTGAGGGGTGCGCCGAAGTGAACGCACAAAGTGTAGCCGCAGGAAGAGACAGTAAAGAAGAACGAACGGCATAAACATAAACTTTCGACGGTCCGCGCGGATTTCTTGGATCTGCGCCTGGCCCCCCTCCCTGGCGCACGGAGCGCGCCAGGGGCGGCGCGGGAGGCGCCGCTGGGGGGGCCCAGGCGCGGATCCAAGAAATCTGCGCGGAGCGCCAAATGTTTATGTTTATACCGGTTGTTCTTCTTCGAGACAGGTGAGCGTTTTCTGATTCGGGGCTCGACATTAGGTGGCAGGGGGAGGGAAAGGGGGGGTCTGGCTCTGGACCTCTGCTCAATGCATCTGTTTGCAGCAGTGCGTCCTGTGGGGGAGGGGCTCCACCTGCTCGAAACAGGCGCCCAAAAAACCGCCAAGATCTGGGGGGCTGCGAAGGCCCGCGCCGCTCGGCAAAACAATGAATTAAAAACGACCACCAGGGGGCACGTACCCAGAGATCCGATGTCGTGATTTTTTCAGTGCGGGGTCCCCGGAAGGGTCGACCCCTCCCCACGGACCGGTTTTTCATCCTGAATATGTTTTTAACGGTCCCTGGGCCTGGCGAGGGCCCCTGGAGGCCGAAAGCTGGGAAAAGCCTCCGTCCTGATTTTTGCAACGCGCTGGATCTCTCGGTATGTTTCAGGCTGGTGTCGGGTCGGGCGAAAGGGGGGGATAGCAAGGGCGGGGTTTGAGAATCAGCTCACGTAGCAGATTTTCTCGGCGCCTCCCGGCGCCGGAGGCGGCCACGTATCGAGGAATGGGCCCCTTGGTGAGGCCGAAACCAGCTGCATGCAGCAAATTTCGTAACCCCCCCTTTCCCAATCCCCCCCTTTCGCCCGGCCCGATGGTGGGGCGCCCCTCCTGCGTGGTAAACGTCGGGCTCGGCACAGACGGCACTATAGGAGGCCGCCCGGGCTGGCCCCCGCGGGCCCGGGCTGGCCTGAGGTCGGGCCTGTCTCCCGACAGGGGGATTTCGGGCGAACAAGTTGGAATTCAGAGGATTTTTCGGGCGAACAGCTGGAATGCCCCAGCAATGCAAGAACACTGCGAAAGGATTGTCAACAACATCGTCCCCAGAGCTTTTTGTGACTATCTTGTTTATATATATATATAAAATAAAAAATAGAAGAACAAAAAAAGAAAAAAAAAACTCCTGGCGGCGGCGCCCGGCGGCTGCTCCGCCCTCGTGTTGCTTCGCGGCGGCCTTGGCCAGCTGCGCCCGCACCGACGCCCCCCTACCGAAGGTCTCGCGCTTCACACGGCCGGTTGCTGGCTCCTTTGTGCGGGTTCTGGTCATCACTGTCCCTGGCGCGGCGAACGTGCCGTTCTCCTCCTCCTCCTCCTCCTCCTCCTCCTCCTCCTCCTCCTCCTCCACCTTCTCTTCCACCTCCTCCTCCCCTCCTCCTCCTCCTCCTCCTCCACCTTCTCCTCCTCCTCCTTCACCTTCTCCTCCACATCCTCCTCCCCTCCACCTCCTCCTCCTCCACCTTCTCCTCCCCTCCGCCTTCTCATCCTCCTCCTCCTCCTCCTCCTCCTCCTCCTCCTCCTCGTCTGCTTGGCCGCCTGGCTCCTCGTGGCGTCCCAAGAGCATTTCTTGCTTGTTAAAAACATATCTTCCTGCATAGAGGGACAGGCCCGACTCGAGGCGGAGGCCTCCGCGGGAGCCCCAGCACCCCCGCAGGCGCGCGCCCGCCCCGCACAAGCAGAGAGGCGCCTCGAGGTGCTGCCCGTGGAGACGTCGCCGGTGATGTCCGTCTGGGTGCCGCGCTCGTAGTTCTTGTCGCCGTCGACCTCTGGGGGGGAAATATTTTTGTCATATCCTCTGCAGCTTGGGGATTCGGGCTCTCTCCCACAGAAGCCCGAGGCGCACTGGAGATGGATAAGTTTACCCCCTGGGGCTCGATGTTTATCCATATCCAGTGCGCCTCGGCCTTGTGGCGCCCCTTCCAAGAAAGTGCAAGACGCACTGGATATGAAAGTGCAAGACGCAACTCGTAGTTCTTGTCGCCGTCGACCTCTGGGGGGAAAAGATCTACATCCATATCCAGTGCGTCTTGCACTGTCTTGGAAGGGGCGCCACAAGGCCGAGGCGCACCGGACATGGATAAACATCGAACCTCACGGGGGGTAAATGTATCCATATCCGGTGCGCCTCGGGTTTCTGTGGAAGAGAGCCCGCAACTCCATTCTGCAGTGGATATGGGCAGAAGTATTGCCCTTACGTTGGGAGCGCCCCCGCGTGCTGCCGCGGGCATGTTCTCTGGGCGGAGGGCAACACGGTTTCGATGGATGTTCGGTGGATTCGATGGGTTTCGATGGATTTTCGTCGGGTGGAGGGCCAAGGTGAGATCTGAAGTGCCGCTTCGATGGATGCTCGAGGGTTGAGTCTGCAAGAGATGAATCGCAAGACGGACTGATGTTCGAGGTGCGCAAGCCCATATGGGTTCCACCCTGCGCCCTCCACCCTAAGAAAATGCTAAGGCTGCCGCGAAAGAGAAAAGAAGGGTCCTGCGGGGCACAGGTCCTGGACCCCTGGGCCGAATGTACCCCCACGGGCCAGCTCTTCGTCCCGAACCCGCCGACCATGTCGGCGTTTGCGAGACGCTGACGCCGCCGCCGCGTGGTCGTGGTCGTGGTCGTGGTCGTCGCATCCCCCTCCCGTTCGACAGGACCTCCTCCTCCAGCGCGCCAGCCTCCCCTTTCCCTGGGCCTTCCTCCTCGATCGCGCCAGCCAGGAAGAGGGGGCATGGAGAATCGTCGCACTTGCGTGGAAGCGAAGGCCTGTCCCTTTGATCCCTTCGGCTCTGGGGGGGGTACCAGAGGGGGATGTGGGGTGTGTGCGTGGGGGGTGGGTCCCAGGGGGTGGGTCCTGGCTGGGTTGGTGCGGGGTGGTCCTGGGTCAGAATGCGCTCCATCCCCACTCCTTTTTCGAAATCCGCCGACCCTGTTGGCGTGTGTAACGGGCTTGTCTGTTCGAGTCGTCGTCTCCGTCAGTCGTCTCCGTCGTCCACTTTCCCTGTACCCTCCTCCTCAAACTTGTCAGCGAGTGAAAAATCTAGCAATGTCGTAACCGAGTCGAAGGAAGCCTCTTCACTTTGATCCCTCCCCCGTCGGGTGAGGGGGGGTCCGGGGAGGGGTGGGGTGGGGGTCCCGCGGGTTTCCCGTGCGCGCGCGCGCGTGTGTGTGTGTGTGTGTGTGTGTGAGAGAGAGAGAGAGAGAGAGAGAGAGGAGAGAGAAGAGAGAGAGAGAGAGAGATATGCATCCATCCCTGGCGGTCCCGAGGGCTCAGAAAGTGCCAAGACAGGCCACACATTCCCCAAGAGGCACCCGAGACGGTCCAAGAGGGCCCCCAATCGCCAAACGATCGATCCAAACCAACTTCACACCAGACTGCCCAAGAGGCCTCCAGGACGCCCCAACAAGCCTTCAAGAGCACTCCCGAGAGGGTCCCAAGAGGCCAAATTCATTCATGTTCCGCTGCTTTGCTTTGTTAACGATTTGGGCGTGCTCGCTTTTCCCACTTCCCGCCGAAGGCGGCGCAAGAGGCCCCCAAGATCGCCCCAAGACGGTTCGAGAGAGATCCCGAGACAACCCAAAACGCCGCCATGACGGCCCAGGAGTTCCCCAAGATGGCTCCAAGAGCGTGCCAAGACGGGGGAACCGAACGGACATTTCGAGCCCTCGGCCCCGAGAGGATCCCAAGGAGGCCCCAAGAGATTCCCAAGAGGCCCACAAGAGGTCCCCAGGAAGCCAGAAGAGGCCCCAAGAGGGTCCAAAGAGGCCCCTAAGGTGCTCCCAAGAGGCTCCCAATAGGCAGAGCCTTCCGAAGAGACCCCAAGAAGCATCTCCGAGGACTCTGGCCCACGTCAGCGTCGTCGTCGTCGTCGCCGCCGCCGTTGTCGTCGTCGTCCTCTCCCTTCAGGGTCGGCGGCACTGGCCTTACAGCCTGGCGCTGTTTCGGCAACTTCTGTCCAAGACAGTCCAGGAGGGCCCTCGAGCGGCCCAAGATAGCTCCAAGACGGTCCACGATGCCCTCAAACCTCAAGACGCCCCAAATTGGCTCCAAAAAGACTCCCACGAGGGCCCAAGAGGCCAGCATGAGTGATTTCCCTCGCATGCTTCGATGGTTTCCGCGTTCTCGCCGTTTCGGCCTCCGAGGCTCGAAGACGGCCCAGGCAGTCCCCACGGTCGCCCCCAAAAGGGCCCCGAGCGGCCCAAGACGGCACAAAGGGCTCCCAAGACGGCCCAAGAGGGTCCGAAGAGGGCCACAAGAGACTCCCAAAAGAGAAACACCAACCGCCATTTCGCGCCATCCGCCCCAAGAGGCCCCCAGGAGGCCCCAAGAGGCGCCTAAGAAGCCCCCAAGGGATACCCACGGGGCCCAAGAGAGGCCCAAGAGCGCCTCCAAAGTGACCCCACGAAGCCAAAGCGTCGTCTTCGTCGCTGTCGTCGTCGCAACAAGGCCATTACGCCCGAAAACGGCAAAGCAAATTCAGGACCCCGTCCCCTCAGGACCCGTTGGTTTCATTTCATGGCGTCACAGGTGTCACGCCGTCCGCATATCGGCGCCAACCTTAGTAGGCCCTGGAAACGGCAAGGCCATTGTTTCACCGTTTCCGAAAAAAAGTCGCAACCGGAAACGGCAAAACAAAAAGCTCCGGAATTGGTACAGGAGGCGGAACCAGCAACAAAAACGGCGACGGAACTGGTAACAAAAACGGCGCAGGCACAGGCAAAGAACGGCCAAACTGAATCGGTAAAAAAACGGCCCTGTCGTTTCCAGGGCCCACTAAAGCGTCAACTACGGCAGTGCCATGTTCGGGCAGGGGTCTCACCGAGTCTGACCATGCGCACCAGGCGTGTGGGCACGACGCTTGGCGCACGGGGCTGATTCTGATACTCCACGGACTCATGTTCGGAGTCCTGCGACCTTCTGTTCGGCGCCAAATGATACCCCGTATAAGGTCCGCCTTATGCGTGATCATATGCTTATCCAGCTGATATTAGCTGTTTGGGGCTTCTTGTGAAGGCCTTCAGGCTATCCTGGGAGCCTCGTGGGCTGCCTCTTCTACCCCTTGGGCAACATATGATATCTTGTGGGCGCCCTCCTGGCAGTCACTGGCCGGTTTGCAAGGCTCGGCGAGGACGTCCCATGTCTGCAAGGCCCAGGGGGGGCGCTGTGCAGGAGAGCCCTGGAGGTCCATGCGGCACGAGCAACTTCGGGGGGAACGAAAGGGGGGATAGCAAAGGGTAGGGTAGATAATCAGCTCACCTAGCTGATTTTCCAGGCGCCTCCCGGCGCCGATAGGCGCCCATGTGTCGAGGCATGGGCCCGGCGGCGGGGCCGAAGCCAGCTGCATGCGGCAGATCTCGTCACCACCCTTTCCCGATCCCCCCTCTCGTTCGGCCCGAGATCTGGAGAATCGTATCTGGGCATCCCTCTTGGGTTTTCAGCGACGAGCTGTCGGGGGCGGCAAAGAGGGGGGTGTCCAAGAGGGGGGGGTGCAAATCATGACCGGCGGCATGTGCGCGGCCCAGCGGGGGGGCCAGGGACGTAATGAAATAAGAAGGGGCGCCATGAAATCAGGGGAAATATCATGGCCCCCGCCATGACATCCCCCCCCCCTAGTCATCACCCCCCTCTTTTCCGTCCCCGAAGCTGACGAGCGAACGTGCAGAGGCGTCCCCCCCGTGGCGGGGGCGAGAGAGAGGGGGCGAGGGGGGCGACGGTCGGCCTGCCCGGGGCGACCGTGGCCGCCAGGCTGCTGGCTTGTAGGCACATCGGGGGAGATATCGCTACATTGAAGGGTCCCTGAAGTGTCCCGGAAGTGTCCCTGAGGTCCTGAAGTCCTGAAGTGTCCCTGAAGTGTCCCTGAAGTGTCCCTGAAGTCCTGAAGTCCTGCAGTCCTGAAGTCCTCAACGTCTCACGACACTACACCACGCTACACTACACTACACCAGCACTCCACTACACAACTACTACACCACTACTCCACTACACACATCTACACACGTACATGCGGACCCGCAAGAAAACAGCGCATTTCTCTGTTCAATTGTGGGTCCGGCGGCATATATATATATATATATATATATATATATATATTCTAGGTTTTCGTCGTCCCTCCCAATTCCCGTAGTTTCCCATATGTTCTGGGGAATCGACGGTTCTTTGTGTATGTGTGTTGCTTTTCCCTCTCCTGGTACATGGCCAGACGCTGCCATGATGACATTACCGTACCTCTCTTCGCTGTCAGAAACTAGCTCCACCTCCGTGGCCTCTGCCCACTGTTTTTCTCGAAACGCTTCTGAGGCTTGGGCGACAGACCTCTCAGGCATCAGGCATCTACCCGCAGTTCCACAAGGAAAAGATAAGCCCTTGGCCGGGGAAGGCGGAGGAGCATTACAACGAAGCCCTTCCGCGGTGCAGGGACGCATACGACATGCGAGGTAGCAGAGAGCCTGTACGCATCCGTGGCAAGCAGCGGCGTTCGGAGACATCTGGAGGCTGCGTTGGATGTGCATTCGGCAACACTTATTTTCCCCCCATGAAGCGCTACATCGATCGCGACGGCAACATCGCCTGGCGGTATGCAATCAAAGCACTGGCTGAGAGGTCATACTGAGACCAAACCGTATCTATACCCTGGGGCAGGGCTCTGATAGGCACACGCCGTGACGCTCGCTAGGCACACGCCGTAACATCAGCAGGCGCGAGACTATTATAACAAAGGGGGGAAACACGACACAAGAGCAACTCGGTATCCATTGTAATGGCAGCTAATCGCTGCCTCTTCATAGATCATCGTGCGCTGTGTTCCTATGTGGTTCGACCGCTCTGAAATCCGCCACCGTGCAACTCGGCACGGACTGGATTGCCCTCAGGTCCCTTCGAAATTTCAACTTTGATCATTGCAAATTGCAGATGTATGCTTTTCGATAACTCTGGTCCTTTGACTCCAGGGATCCGAGGGCGCTGTTAGTTCGCACTTCCAACATGGCCTAGGATGGTCACAAGGCCCGTCCTCGAACTATATTTGGCGTCTCTGGGGTCGTCTTAGAGGCCCTGGGGGCCAGCCCACGTGCACAAATCATTGAGAACCATGTCGTTTTGAGTGGTTCGCTTGTTCGTTTTCCAGAACGTCTAAAGATGGCGCAAGCGCCCCGATATCGCCACAAGTCAGATCACAGTACACCAGAGAGGGCCCAAGAGAGCCCCAAGACGGCCCCAAGAGGGGCCCGCGAGCGGGATTGAAAACTGCTGTTTCGAGACCTTCCCCGACGTAAGACGGTAAGCAGGCCGACCCCAGAGGCCACAAACAGGCCCTCAGAAACCCCCTAATGGGCCTCCGAGAGCCCACTAGAAACCTCCAAGAAGCCAACAAGATGCTCCCAAGAGGCTTCCGAGATGCACCCAAGAGGCCAAGCACAATGGCGGGATGGGCCCGAGCGAACGAATTATTGTGCACAACGTCACCAGCAAACGAACTTCATGACTCGCATGTGAGCGTCACGTGTATAATCACAAGCACGGCTCCCGAGCAGGCTACCCCAATCACGACACTGCCAACTCGACACGCCCATGCCACCACGAGCCAGGATCAGCGCTGCGAATTGCCGCAGAAATGCTTGGACCACGGATATCACAGAGACCTCGCAGGAATCGGCCTACATGGCCGCCACGACCAGAAGAGCGGCGGCGAGTTAGCAGTCTGGGCGACTGCCCTCTGCGTGACTCGCGGGCGCCTCCCCTGGGGAAGCTGCCTGCGCCTCTGCCACAGCAGAGCCCTCGGCGGCCTCCTCCGCGTCGCCGTCGGGACCCCGCGGCTCTTCGGGCTCGAAGGCGGGGAGGTCGGGACCCAGCAGCTCACACAGCCAGAGGTCGGGACCGGTGTGGTCTTCAATGGCGCCGATCCTCGACACCGACCAGCCTGCGGAGGAAACCAAGAGGTGCCGATACCACTACTCTTAGGTCGGGCATGTCCCCCGACAGGGGGATTCAGGGCGGAAAAATGAAAAAGAGTCCAAACATTTCAAAAATGGTCAACAATACTCAGAAAATTGTCCCCAGACCTTTTTTTATTACTATTTTCGAATATTCCCGCTGTAGAGGGACGCGCCCGACTTAACACTACTCCCTGGACCTCTCCGCGGGTGTGTCCTGGCAAGATTCTCGAGGCAAGTCCGGTCCTAGCGACGAGGGTTCCCCAGGAGGTCCCGGAAAGCCGAACACGAGGGAAGGGCAGCGCTATAGACGCCACGAAAACATGTGCAGGGACACCATGCGACGAACTTTGCATGCAGCTTCAGGGGGGGCGCCGGCGCAGAAAGTCGCCGGCTCTCAGTGGTGATTTGTACAACGCCCACCTCCCCTGAGGCCCAGGAGCGTTCCAGTGGAGGGTGTCTATACATATATATATATACACATATATATATATACATATAGGGGGGGGGCTGAACCGAACGGTCATTCACTGTCCCTGAGTGCGTGGCTGAAGTGGAATTCCGCGATGAGGATTCTTGTTGTTGTTATTTGTTGTGTGTTATTGTCGTCGTCCCACCCGCGACCCGCCCCGCGACCCACCCGCGACCAACACCGCGACCCACACGCGACCCACCCGTGACCCACCCCGTGACCCACCCGCGACCCACCCCGCGACCAACCGCGACCCAACCGCGAACCACCCGCGACCCACCCCGCGACCCGCCCCCGACCCACCCCGAGACCCCCCTGGCGACCCACCCGCGACCCACCAACGACCCACCCGCGACCCACCCGCGACCAATCCCGAGACACCCCCGGCGACCCACCCGCAAACCACCGGTAACCCACCCAGGACCCACCCGCGACCCATCCGCGACCCATCTGCGACCCACCCGCGGCCCACCTCGCGACCCACCCGCGAACCACCCGCGACCGCCCACCCAACCCCCGCGACCCACCCCGCGACCCGCCCCCGACCCACCCGCCCGCGACCCCGACCCACCCGCGACCCATCCCGAGACCCCCCCCACCCACCCGCGACCCACCCGCGCGACCCACCCGCGACCCACCCGCGACCCACCCCGCGACCCACCCGCGACCCACCCCGCGACCCACCCGCGACCCACCCGCGACCCACCCGCGACCCACCCCGCGACCCGCCCGCGACCCACCCCGAGACCCCCCGGCGACCCACCCGCGACCCACCGCGACCCACCCGCGACCCACCCGCGACCCACCGCGACCCACCCGCGACCCACCCCGCGACCCACCCGCGACCCACCCGCGACCCACCCCGCGACCCACACACGACCCACCCAAAATTTTCGGCGCCTGCGGCGGGTTTCTTTTGCATTCTTTCCAGGTGGAGATTCGGCGACCTACCCGCGACCCAAACCGCGTTCAGTGTACAAATAAAAATGTTCGGCGCCTGCGGCGGGCTGTTTTTGAATTCCTTCCAGGTGGAGGTGGAGAACCCGCGACCCACCCGCGACCCACCCGCGACCCACCGCGACCCACCCGCGACCCACCCGCGACCCACCCCGCGACCCACCCAAAATTTTCGGCGCCTGCGGCGGGCTTCTTTTGCATTCGTTCCAGGTGGAGAACCTGCGACACACCCGCGACCCAAACCGCGTTCAGTGTGGAGCAGGAGGGGGAGAAGAAGGAGGAGGGCGCCATCGACAGGGAAGGTGAGGGCCACGAGATCCGCCAGCTTGACGCCCGCGTCTCCCGCGCCCGCCCCCTCACTCTCATCCGCAATTGCGGGGTGCCACGCATATAGTCCCTAATCAGTGCTTGCACAGGGGTGCGAATGGAAAATGAAAAGTTTGGCGAACAAGTCCCGCCAATTTTGGTGGCCAGCTGGGCTCCCAGGTTCCCAGTTCCGGGTTTCCAGGTTCCTGGTTATTGGTTCTGGGCCGATTTCGGTGGGTTCCAGGTTCCAGGGTTCCTGGTCCATCTCCTTATCAATCAAACCATCCACTGATTGGGGGTTTCCTCTGGTGATATATATATATATATATATATATATATATGAACTAGAACCTTCGCGCGCGCTTCGCGCGCACTCAAGTTCTAGATGTGGGCACGGCCTGGGCGCTCAGGGGGGGGATTCTTGCCACGAGGGCGGCGGGGTCTTCTCCCACCCCATGTTCCGGAAGCGCGCTTCCGGAACATGGGGGGGCCTCTGATCACTCTCATGCGCTCCTGCGCCCTATTCGCTCGCACCCTGGACCCTGGACCCTTGCCCTCTGTACCTTGCGCGATCGTCGTCATCAATGTCGGCGGCGCATGATTCCTTTCCCATGCTCGGGAAAGCCTTGTCCAGAACATGGGGGCGAAGAAAGGCCTCGCGCGGGTGGGGCGGGGCCTCCTCGGCTTGTGTTGGCTTGAAGGCTCCATGGGGGCTCTTGGGGGTCTCTTGGGGGTCTCTGTCTTTGTCGTCTCTTGGGGTCTTTTGGAGGCCTCTTGGGGTCTCTTCGGATCTCCTTGGGGACTCTTGAGGGCCTCTGGGGACCTCTTCGGGCCCTCTCGGAGCCTCCTGGGGCCCTCTCGGGGCGGAAAACTGGATTTTTGAAGGTTTGGTCGTCCTCTAGGACCCCTCTAGGGGCCGCCTTGGAGTTCTCTTGGGCTGTCTTGGGCGTCTGGGCCGTCCAGGGAGCGTCTTTGGGGCATCTTGGGCCGTCTTGGGGTGTCCTGGCGGGCCTCTTGGGCTGTCTTGGAGCGTCGTAAAGGCGGAAGGGCGAGAAGGCCAAAAACATCGAAAAAAGCACAATGGAAAATCAACAATTCTTCCTCCTCGGGGTCCTCTGGGGAGACCTCTTGGAGACGTCTTGGAGCGTCGTGGCGGCCGCTCGGGCCGTCTTGGGCTCATCTTCGTCGTTTCGGGGGCCCCTGGGGACGTCTGGGGCGCCTGTGGGGGCACTCCGGACTCGTCCTGGGGCTCTCTCTAGGCAGGTTCGCGGCGCGGCCGGGACTCTCCATGCAGGGGACCTGGGGCCACCACGGCGACCGGGGGCAGCTGGGCGAGGGTCCCCGCCCCCGGTGCTCCGATAGATATACATACGTACAGACCTACCTACCTACCTACCTACCTACCGACCGACCGACCTACCTACCTACATACATACATTCATACATACTTACATCGTTACATACATACATACATACATACATACATACATACATACATACAGACGGACGGACGGACGGACGGACGGACGGACGGACGGACGGACGGACAGACAGACAGACAGACAGACAGACAGACAGACAGACAGACATACACACAAACATACATACATACATACATACATACATGCATGCATACATACATACATACATACATGCATGCATGCATGTATGTATGCATGCATACATACATACATGCATACATGGTGGCGGCGTATGGGTACCATTTCCTCCGCTGAGCCTGCGGCACCCTGCAACGTCTGCACGAACTCCTCGTACAAGGCCGGCTGGTGGAGCTCCTGCGCCCAGAGAGCCCGCAGCCGCCCGGGCGCGCGCCGGCGCCGTGCGAGCCCGTCCAGGGCGGCGACCAAGGGCTGCAGGACGTGCTCGTGGTAGAGCACGTCGGAGATGAGCACCTTTGCCGGAGCATGGGCTTCTGTTGCGTCCTTCGTACTGAAGGACCACATCCCAAACAAAATCGTCTCGAGCACCCTGAAGAGTACCGAAGCAGCGTCCAACGAGTAGCGCCTCCCAGGATCCGACGCGCGAAAGCCCTCCAGTATCGGTACTTCCTTGGTGCTCGGAAATCTTTCTGGTGATCAAGGCTAAAATACCACTGCACCGACCTTGAAGACGTGCTGCAGCGGATTTCTGCGTGGATTTCTGTCAGCGCAAAACCTCGAAACGGCGAGTGACCAACGAAGTGAATTTCGCTTGGATGTTGTTTCGTCTTCCTTCTTGGCCAAACAAAAAAAGTCCGCACGAAATTCACCTTGAAATCCGAAACGAAATCCTCCAGGACGTTCTGGGCCCATCATGTCGTTTTCCAAACGGAATCCGCTCTGCGATGTTGGCGCGATGAAAACTAGATTGTAACATCATAATGACTACGTACCGGACCACCCCAACCCAACCCGAAGACCTGAATTTGACCCGAATTTCGGGTTGGGGGGGTACGGGTTCCATGTTTTTTTTTCAATGTTCCCCGATCACCCCCTACAGGAAATGGAGGGCAAGTTGAAGCCTTCGGGTTGGATTGGGGTGGTTCGATGGTTGGAACATCATAATCCATGGGCGAACACGCATGTCCGTAGCCGCGGCCTCGCGGAAACCATGGGCAGCCCGGGCCGCGAGCCGGCGGAGAAGCGGATGGTTCTCTGCTCGCGGCTGCCCCTCGCGGCACGTATACCCGTGCGACCGCGTGTCCGCTGGACCGCGCCCCGGAGTGCAGACCGCGAGGGCGCGGATACGGCCATGTTCAGGTCGGGTATGCCCCCCTCTCCAGGCGCATGTTTGCACGACAAGTAAGCAACATGCAAACACGTTATCAACAACAACAACAACAACATCAACAACAACAACAGCAACAACAACAACAACAATTACTAGCACGTGGGGACACACCGTTCTCACCAGTGCCAGGGTTTTCATAGGAGGCGGGCAATACCCCCACTTTGTGGGGGGGCCGGTTCAAGCTCTACCAAATTTCCAAACGACTCTTCGCCACCACCCACACCCAGCTTCCCGCCCTATGACGTTCGGACACTTCACTTCGTGGCATGCGGACGACCGTGGCTACTATTCAGGGCCCCGCGGCCGACGACGACGGCGTGCGCGCGCGAAGAAAAAACGAATGTGTCCCGCATGGTATTATTTGACAGGGATGATGGCCCTGGCAGGTGCGCAACCGTTGTTGCAGAAGTTCGAAAAAGTTGCTCGCAAAAGCCCGTTTGACAGAAATGATTAAAAAGTGTTGGGTTTCCTACGAATCCGCAAGAGCGCGCGGGATGAAATTTTGACATTTTTTTGTGAAAAAACCATTGGTTTTTTGATGTTTTTATGTTAAAATCGCTACGAAAACTAAGGTTTTGGAAGGATTTCGTCTTGCGCGCGCGAATGTCCACTTTACCTGATTTTTTGCAAAGGGATTCTTGAAGTTTGGTTATGTTAGAACAAGACATGTCCACTTTAGCTTATTTTTTGCAAGGGAAAACCGATCGTAACAACACAACCGGATGTGGTACACATCGTTTTGCCTGAGGCTTCCTCACGAAAATGATGAAAATGAGGCTGCGGCCTAGGCGCGGCGGGGGGGCCATGCACCAGGGGCCCCAACAATAATTATTCTTTAGAAGTAATAATGTTCAACGACGACGACGACGAAGACGACGACGACGACGACAACAACAACATCAACAACAACAGCAACATCAACAACAAAAACAGCAACAGCAACAGCAACATCAACAACAACAACAACAGCAACAGCAACAGCAACAACAACAACAACAGCAACAACAACAACATCAACAACAACAACACCAACAACAACAACAACAATTACTAGCACGTGGGGACACTCCGTTCTCACCAGTGCCAGGGTTTTCATAGGAGGCGGGCAATACCCCCACTTTGTGGGGGGGCCGGTTCAAGCTCTACCAAATTTCCAAACGACTCTTCGCCACCACCCACACCCAGCTTCCCGCCCTATGACGTTCGGACACTTCACTTCGTGGCATGCGGACGACCGTGGCTACTATTCAGGGCCCCGCGGCCGACGACGACGGCGTGCGCGCGCGAAGAAAAAACGAATGTGTCCCGCATGGTATTATTTGACAGGGATGATGGCCCTGGCAGGTGCGCAACCGTTGTTGCAGAAGTTCGAAAAAGTTGCTCGCAAAAGCCCGTTTGACAGAAATGTTTAAAAAGTGTTGGGTTTCCTACGAATCCGCAAGAGCGCGCGGGATGAGATTTTGACAATTTTTTGTTGAAAAACCATTTGTTTTTTTTGATTTTTTATGTTAAAATCGCTGCGAACACTAAGGTTTTGGAAGGATTTCGTCTTGCGCGCGCGAATGTCCACTTTACCTTATTTTTTGCAAGGGATTCTTGAAATTTGATTATATTAGAACAAGAAATGTCATTTTCTATTGTTTTTTGCAAGGGAAAGCGGATTACAACAAAACAACCGGATCCTGTACACACCCTCTTTTCTGAGGCTTCCTCACGAAAGTGATGAAAATGTAGCTGCGGCCTAGGCGGCGCAGGGGGGGGCGCGCACCAGGGGGCCCAACAATAATTATTCTTTAGAATAAATAATGTTCAACAGCAACAACAGCAACATCAACAACAACAACAACAACAACAGCAACAGCAACAGCAACAGCAACAGCAGCAACAACAACAACAACCAACTCGTCAGAAAATCGTCACCCGACTTTTTTTTTGGGGGGGGGACTCTTTTCGACCCTTCCTCCTGTATAGAGGGCGCCCGCCTCGAGGCTACGTGCGTCGCTCAGGGTCGGAGGCAGGCCGGCCGAGCCGCCGGCGGCCCTCCCTGGCCGTGCCGCGTCCCCTCGGGGGGCCTCCCGGAGGATTTTTGTTTTCTCGCCGCCGCGGCGGGAGCCGCGCGGGGCGAGGCGGGCCCCCTCCTCCTCCATCTCCTCCTCCTCCTCCTCCTCCTCCTCCATATCCTCGTCCTCCATCTCCTCCTCCTCCTCCTCCTCCTCCTCCTCCTCCTCCTCCTCCTCCTCCTCCTCCTCCTCCTCCTTCTCCATATCCTCGTCCTCCATCTCCTCCTCCTCTTCCTCCTCCTCCTCCTCCTCTTCCTCCTCCTCCTCCTCCTCTCCTCCTCCTCCTCCATATCCTCGTCTCCCCCTCCTCCTCCTCCTCCTCCTCCTCCTCCTCCTCCTCCTCCTCCTCCTCCTCCTCCTCCTCCTCCTCCTCCTCCTCCTCCTCCTCCTCCTCCTCCTCCTCCTCCTCCTCCTCCTCCTCCTCCTCCTCCTCCTCCTCCTCCTCCGCACGGGGTGGTGACCACGCCGTGCGGTGAGTCGGTGGGGTCACCGCACGGCTTTGGGGCGCGGGCCGTTCTCCGAGGACGTCTCGGGCGACAGGGGCCTCCGAGGGATCCCGGCACCGCGCGTGGACGGACACTGCGTGTGAGGTCTTCGGGGGAGGAGGAGGAGGAGGAGGAGGAGGAGGAGGAGGAGGAGGAGGAGGAGGAGGAGGAGGAGGAGGAGGAGGAGGAGGAGGGGGAGGAGGAGGAGGAGGAGGAGGAGCAGGAGGAGGAGGTCACCGCACGGTCTGTCACCGCACCGCTTCGGGACTCAAAAAGGGAGAGGCGGGCCAGCACGGAGCCCGGGAGGCGTCCTGGGAATGACTTCGGGCGGATCTGAACCAGGCGGGGGGGGCGCCGATGCCTCGGCTGGCTCTTCTCCGACCTCGGGGATCGCACTTGCAGTGTTGAGCTCCATCTTTGTCATACCACTGGATTCCGCAGCATCGACCGCAATAATTATCCTAGAGCCTCGAGGAGCCTGATATCGGTATGCTGCTCGAGCTACGGCCGAAAAACTATTCGCACTCTGTCACTGTTTTTTGGCACAAGCTCGGTTCATGGACTTGATCTCGAGATTGAGGGAAACTGCAGTGCTCTCATTCATACCAATCGATTCAGCAGCACTCAGTGGGCACTTGTAGCATGGACAGCGAGTTCGGCTAGAAACCAGCAGCGGGGGAGGAATAGGGAGAGAGAGGAAGACACCAGCGGCGATGACGCTTGGTCTTCCCCCCCCCTGAGCCTGGACTAAGTCCGAACGGCAGGTCTGCCTGGAAGGCCGGAGAACAATATAATAACAAACAACACATGAACATAAACTCTTGGCATCCGCGCGGATTCCTTGGATTCGCGCTGTACCCCCTCCCTGGCGCGCGGAGCGCGCCAGGATCGGCGCTGGAGGCGCCGCCTGTGGGCCCAGGCGCGGATCCAAGAAGTCCACGACGAAGGGCCAAAAGTTTATGTTTATGTGGAATTAGCTTCTTCGAAACAAGCAACTGCAGCGCAAGCGGATGTATCTCAATACGATGGCAACGCAATCGCTGGTGGACATAATGATTGCAAACAAATGTGATAGGTTTTGCGCTGCGGCGCAGTCGTTAGTGCAATGTGTAAACCAGGCCAGTCTTGGCATGGAGTTATCAAACCAGAACACACAAACGATTGCGCCTCTTGGAGTAGACATTTAAGGAACCACTCGACATATGGTGCAACGGTTTGTGTGCAATGGTGTCGATGGTAGCCTTCGAGATTGCAGCACTATGGCCCGTCCGATGCTGCAAAGCTGCCAGCTATCAGGTTCTCCAAAGACATGTGTTCAAATTCGCCAACGTGTCGAGAGACAAATGAGGCATGCGTACGGTACGTGTTTCGTGTGAACGCTTGCAACCTCGTGAGGTGGCAACAGATGTGCTCAGCGCGGGCACGTGCTGTCTGTGTAACCGCGGGAACTCTCCGCTGAGGCCCAAAAGCAATGGAGATGCCATCGAGCTAGCTAGAACCTGGGCGCCGTTCGCCACGGAGTTGTGAAATTGCTCCCGACCCAGCTCTTACCATCCTATCCGCGCGCTAGAGCACCATGTCGAGGGCATGCCCCGAACGGAGCCAGTCCACCTCCATCACGTCCTTGAAATTGAGGGCGCGGACCTCCACGCCAGACTCGGACTCGTGGCCCGGGAAATTCCTACAGAAAAGAAAGCACGGCACGAGGGGAACTTTCGGAACTCCGCACGGCTTTCTGGGATCGGCGTCAGACCCCCCTTCCCCGGCACACCGAGCGCGCCAGGAGCGGCGCCAGAGGCGCCGCCATCGGGGTCCAGCGCAAATCTGAGAAACCATCGCGGACTTGAGGGAAACTAAAAGGCACCAGCACCGCTGCTCCCCGGACCTCTGCTGTGGTGCCTCCTGACCAGAATATGTCGCTGCGGATCCAGCGGTGGCGACGAGGGCCGCCCAGGAGGCCCGGGAAAGGGGAGAACGAGGGAAGAGTCGCGATAGGGGTATCTTGCCCTCCCCTGTGTTTTCTCGTTTTGTTTGAGGCCTGGAAATGGGCACCAACACCAACACAGGGTGTTGCCTCCGCCGGGGGGAGATGATCCTAGATCTCGGGTGGTGGTGGTAACATCTCCGCAACCTTGGCAGCCAGATTGTTACCGCCATCGCCGAGATCGGGATCTTCTTCCCTCGGTGGAAGCAAACCGCCGATACTGCGGGATGACGATTAATAAAAATAATGGGGGAGGAACGATAAAAAATAGTTTTCTGCTATTTCTGTACAATTTTCTGACTGGAGGAGAACGATTTAAAAAATAGTTTTCCAGCCCGCGGTTTTTCTAATCGTCATCCTGGGCGCCGCCGCATGAACACGACCCCCGGTCATTTATTAATCGTCATCCTCCATTACTGGTGTTGGTGTCGGGGCTCTGGCCTGCGGTTTTGATCCTGGACGCGTTCCGCCGCAGCAGCGGCAGCATGGGCGGCAGGTCCGTCAGCGTGACGCGCGCGGCCCCGAGGCGGCGCGCCGCCAGGCCCACGAGGCCGGTGCCGGCACCGAGCTCCAGCACCTCGAGGCCGCGCACGAGGCCTGGCGAGCGCAGCAGGTGGCTGCTGACCGATGATCCTCAGAGCGCGTGCCAGCGCCAGCGTGTGTTTATCAGCCACGCGCAGAGGGGGGTGGGGGGAGGGGGGAGGGCTTCTTGGAAGCACCCCTGCTTCTTAGAAGGCGCGGGCCTTATCTATAAACGTAAGGCCGGCGCCTTCTAAGAAGCAGCCTCCTTCTAAGAAGCCCCCCCCCCTCCCTCCACCCCCTTGTGCGCTCCGCCGAGTTTAGGGGAACGAAGAGTGACATAAACAGAACAACTCGGGGGTCCGCGCGGACTTCTCGGATCCGCGCCGGAGCCCCCATGGCGGCGCCTCCAGCGCCGCCCCTGGCGCGCTCTCCGCGCGCCAGGGAGGGGGGTCCAGCGCCGATCCGAGAAATCCGCGCGTTCCTCCGAGTCCTTCTGTTGATGTCATTCTTCGTTCCCCTAGGGTGTGCTTGTCCATCGACTCGGGGCGTGACCCGTCCCCCTGAGCGGCTCGCTCCCTCCGCCCTCCCTTTTTCGGCCGCGTCCTCCTCTTGCTCCTCTCTTGCATGGTGGCACAATCCGCTCCAACGGCGCCCCTGTTTAGGCCTTTCCGCTCGCGCAGAGTTCCCCTGCCTCGCCGCCGACGCAAAAAAAAGGTTTGTCCATCGAGGCTTTTCCAGACGGCGCAGGCGGTGCCACGAGGGCCGGGGCGGGCTGCGGGATACCGGCGGAGCTGCCTGAGGTCCACACACATGGGGCTGACACACGCCCTGCGGGATCACCGAGCTGAGGAAGACGGCGGAGTCCCAGACTGTGCCGCCAGTGGTCATCGGCTCGTCGCTGCTCCATCCGTCCACCTTCAGGGTCTGGGAGATGACGAGGGCGCCCCTCTGAGAGCACGCGGGCCGGGTGGGCGAGGGCGGGCGCGGGCCGGCCAGCCATCCGAAGGCCCTGCAGGCAGCCCCGGGTGCCCGCCTTCGACTCGGCTAGACGCAAGAGTGACCCTGGGCAGGAGGAGGAGGAGGAGGAGGAGGAGGAGGAGGAGGAGGAGCAGGACGAGGAGGAGGAGGACGAGGAGGAGGGAGGAAGAGGAGGAGGAGGAGGGAAGAGGAGGAGGGAGGGGGGAGGAGGAGGAGGAGGAGGAGGAGGAGGAGGAGGGAGGAGGAGGAGGAGGCGGTCGCTGGGTCGTTGCCGCGCCGCCGCTGCCCCCGCGGCCAGATCCTGCAGATTCGGCCTCGGTGGGCCTGCGTCGGCTTGCTGTCGGTTTGTGTGAAGGGGCCCTGGGCTTAGTGGGCCCTGGAAACGACAGGGCCGTTTTTTTACCTGTTCCGTTTTGCCGTATTTTCGTCGGTTCCGACGCCGTTTTTTTACCGGTTCCGTCGCCGTCTTTTGACCGGTTCCGGCTCCGGTTCCATTCCTGGAGCCGTTTTTTTGCCGGTTCCGGTCGCCTTATTTTTTGCCGTTTCCATTTTCAATGGACATTTTTTGGGAAACGGTGAAAAAACGGCCCTGCCGTTTCCGGGGCCCACAAAGGCCCTGGGACACACAAACAAATACACACAAACAAAAAGGATTCCCCATATTTTCGCATAGTTTTCTCCGTTTTTGTCTTCCCCACCACTCCCCATATTTTCCAATACTTTCTGGGGAATGGAGGATTCATTGTGTCTGTGTGCTTCTTTCCCTCCTGATTGTGGGGGCGCTGCCGCCGCGGGGCGGCCTCACCTCTGGCGCTGCAAAGGCTTTTGGGGGGGCTGCGGGGGGACCACAGCCCAAGCGCGCAGCGCGCTGCTCTCCGCATCGCGCCCGGCGCTCGGGGGACCCCCACGGGGCCCGCACCAGCATCGGGAGCGGCCAAGAGTCAGTAATGTCATTGTACTGGCGAAGCTTTTGACGACAAAACGTAATTCAAAAAAATAAACGCTTAAACGCCAAATTATCGGTATAGCGTTGGACTAATCGCGGCTGACCGAACGCGAGAATGCGAGCGCCCGCGCGATGCTCCTTGCTGCAAACTGAGGCCCCGATTAGGACAACGATGCGCCTCTTGGACACCTCCCTCTTGAAGAGGGAGGTGTCCAAGAGGCGGGGGTGCAAATCATGACCGGCGGCACGTGCGCGGCCCAGCGGGGGGGCCAGGGACGTAATGAAATAAGAAAAGGCGCCACGAGATCTTGGGAAATATCATGGCCCCCGCCATTCTATCCCCCCCCCCCCAGTCATCACACCCCTCTTTTCCGCCCCCGACAGAAGTCACTCCGGCGAAGGGCCCAGGGAAACCAACAGGCCCCGAGACCGCTGCTCCCCGGGCCTCTCCCAGAGCGCGTTCCGCCAAGGATTGCTGAGGGCATCCAGCGGTGGCGACGTGGCGGCGAGGGCCGCCAAGGAGGCCCAAAACATGGGAACAGAGCCGGGGGTCCGCCTTCGACTTTGGACGCCCGAAATGGGTACGGAAAGAATGGGCACAATGCCCAACAGCAAATGTTGTCCCCAACCAACAGCGGCCGCTGTTGGGCAGGCGGCCTTCTGTCTCAAATGAACACAGGCCGCGGCGGCGCGGACAGCGAGTCCTGTTCAAAATGAACAGGAACTGCTGTTGGGCATCGTACCCATTACTTCCGTGCCCATCTCGTTCGTGCAGAGCCTTAGACTGCCGCCGGCGTCCACCAGCCGGCCCCCGTTGGCAGAGGCGGTCTCGTGCTGCGTCCGCCAGCTGCCCGAGAGGTCGGCCCCGTCAGTTCCCCCGAGGCAAGGCCCTGGCCTGTGCGGATGCCCGAGGGCCGAGGGGGCCTAAGTCGGCGGCGAGCGAAGGGGGGAGGTGTGAAGGAGAAGGCCTTTGAAGGGGCCCCAGGACAAACAAATAAACACACACAAATGCAAATACTCCCCATATTTTCACATGTTTTCTGGGTTTCTGTCTCCCCCCCCACTTCCCATATTTTCTCATATTTTCTGAGGATCGCCGATTAATTGTGTCTTTGTGTTTTTTCCCTCCTGAGCCTTCTCAGAAGGCGGCGGGGCTTCTCAGCAGCCCGCGCGCCCTCTGAGAAATGTTCTGCCTCCGGGGAGGCCTATGAAACTTTTCCGAAGGCTGGAGGACTTCCGAGCACTCTGAGAAAGCCCGCCCCCTCTCACTACCCCCCGGAGCTCGCCGCCGAATCATGCAGTCGCAGACCAAGGAGCGGCGTTCATGCCGAGGCTCTTCGGGCGGAGCTTGGCATCGAAACTGGTGAGGATGGGGCGAAGATGATCGAACTGGTAAGGATGCAAGGGTACCCAAGTCGATCATCCTTGCTGTTCGGGATGACTGCAATGCAGTCCAAGGGGTGGCGCCTAGACAACCGCCCTGCATCGCAGGGGGTGCCGGAGAAAAACGCCCCTCGCGGCGCTACTCGTTTATGCAAGAAGGGCGAGGGCCAGATCACGATCAGAATGAGTGGTGTATCACTGTCCCCTACTATGTACACCCCCTCCCCCAGGCGACCCTCAGCCAACCAAGAACAATGCCGACCCGATGATCATCCTCGCCAGCCATCCCGGTCAGAAAACAATGCAAAACACACTCTGTCTCCAAATCCGTAGCATGCGCAACCAACCCGACGCGCCCCCCCGATCCATGCCAAAAACAACAGACATACACTTTGGGGGCAACATCTTGCGTCATGCTCGCGAGGCCCGCGAGCACTCTGTGTAGTGCTCTGTTGAGAGGGGCGTCGGGCCTGCCGTGCGCAGGGCCGCCATCACGTTCAGCAGACAATGCAGCACGCACCTGCGGCTAAATCTGGACCGTGCGCGGCCACCCCACGGTCACTGTCAAGTGGTTTTGGCGAGGGCGGCGGCGGTGGTGGTGGCGTATGGCATGCTGTGCGCAGGCCCACCAGGCACAATGATGGGCATCTCGTTTTCGACAAAGACGGTGGGGACCGACATGTTTCCCGATGTGTGCTGTCACGTGCGCAGGCGCACCTGACCCACTATGCACGTGCCCCGAAGGAGGCGCACCTGGTCCGGCTGGGGTATGCGGCACACTTGGCGCACGTAGATCACGTGGCGCACCTGGCGCACCAGGCGCGCCTGACACGCTCGGGCCCCAGGGGTGCCTGGCGCGCGTGGCGCGCCTGGCACGCGTGGCGCACCTCGCCCCAGCGTGGCGCACATGGGGTCGGTTTTGGTCGAAGTAACTGCCCGTCCACAGACGACCGCTGAACGTGTGTTGGGAGGGCGGGTTGGAGTGAGCTCGACGTCTTGCTATCTATGGGGGGTATCTTGATCACTGCTCCCTATTAGTATACACCCCCTCCCCCAGGCGAGTGGGAGCCAACCCGAGACCATGCGCCCCCCCCCATCCCTTGTAAAAAACAGTACGAACACACACAGTGCCTTTAAATTCGGAGCATGCGCAGCAAACCCGATGCGGCCTCCCCCCACCATCCCTGTCAAAAAACCATGCAGACTACACTTGGCGGCGGCGGCGGCTGCGGCGGGGGCAGCGGCTGCGGTGGCTGCTGCGGTGGCGGCGGCGGTGGCGGGGGCGGCGGCGGGGGCGGCGGCGGCGGCGGCGGCGGCGGCGGCGGCGGCGGCGGCCGCGGTGGCGGCTGCGGCTGCGGTGGCAGCGGCTGCGGCGGCGGCGATTCGGCAGCGGGGGCGGCGGCGGCGGCGGCGGCGGAGGCGGCGGCGGCGGATTGGCCCCCAGTAGCTGCCCATCCAAAGACGACTGCTGAATATGCTGCGGTTCGGGCCACGCTCGGGTGCTGGGTATGTGTTGGGAGGGCGGGTGGGAGTGAGCGAGACGGCTTGCGGGCGGGGAGGGAGGCTTCTAAGAAACTCCCTAGCGGCCCCACGAGGCTCCCCTAAGACACCCAAGACGTTCCAACAAGCGCCCGCCGCCAAGGCCCTCAAGATCCGCCAAAAGGACTCCAAGCAGCTCTTCATACATATCCGAAGAGACCCCGAGAGGCATCCAAGAGGCCTCTGGCCTTTCTGCTCGCCCTCCTCCTCCTCCTCCTCATCATCCTCCTCTTCGTCCTCATCCACCTATTCCTCCTCGTCCCTCCTCCGTCCTCCCCCCCCTCCCCTCTCTCCCTCCTCCTCCTCCTCCTCCTCCTCCTCCTCCTCCTCCTCCTCCGATTCCTCCTCTATCATCCCCCTCTTGGTGCACGACGGCTTCCCCAACACCATCCTCCACGGCATGCTCCTCCACATCCCTGATCAGGGCAACCCGCCTCGGCGTCGTTTCTGGATGGGCTCATGGGGTCACGCGGAGCGTCTAGAATAGATGTCATTCGGTCTGGCGTGTCCTCCTACAGACGGATTTTGGACGAAACAAACACAATTAGTCAAACCATATCCCAAAATACCACAATTATCCCAGCAAGGCAACCTAACAGCGATGTGTAGAAGCATATATACGAGCGGCCTAGTAGTGGTAAGGGCAATGGTAATGGTAGTAGTGGTAATGGTAGTAGTGGTAAGCCAGCAATGGTAATGGTAGTCCTGCGAAGTGTTTTTCGGGCACGGACGAGGAGCGCGAAAGAGTGCAGCGTGCGGGGCGAAAAGCCAGCAAAGGCTGCAAGCTAAGAAGCACCGCAGACACTCGCAGGCAAAATGCCAACGCGGCCGGGCAGCTCATTACATTTGGAAGTAGTATGCCAATACCGCAGGCTGAGAAGCACAGCGGGCATGCAGAGTTGGATCCATCACCTCTCCTGTTCGTCTTCTAGGAGATCGCGCCAGTCTGGCGGCGAACAGAAGCGGAAAGCGAGCCAAACCTGCAGGCTAAGAAGCACCACAGACACTCGCAGACAGAAGTTCAACGCGGCCGTGCAGCGCATCACTTTTGGAATTAGCATTCCAGCACCGCAGGCTCAGAAGCACCGCGGGCAAGCAGGCCTGGATCCATCACCTCTCCTGCTTGTCTTCCAGGAAATCGCGCCAATCTGGCGGCTGCCAAGAATCGATGATGCGCCGGGATCCACCCCCCGTGCTGCCGCCGATGTCGAGGTAATCACCCTCTTTCGTGCGCAGACGGCCATGTCCCAGCGCCAGAATCGCTCTGTTGCGGTTCTTGAGCAACTCGCCGCTCTCCCACTTCTGCAGCACATCCCATTGCGTGCGAGTGAAAGTGGCATCGGCTGCAGGCTGGCTAGCACCGCGACGCTGGAGCTCTTGCCGATGGCGATGGAGCCGCTCACCTTCGTTGTAGCGCGCAATGGCCTCCGCCTTGTCATGATGGAGGCGGCGGCGCTCTTCCTGGGAGACGTGGTTACGATCGGCGAGCTCTGCGGGTGCATGTCCGCAACTCGGTTCTCGGCATCTCGGTTCTGCAGCTGACCCTGGAAGTCAGAACTTTCGTACTCTTCTCGAGCACGTTTGACAAGTTCCGCGCGCTCCTCCTCAGTAAGGACATGGCGCATGTCCGCAACGCTCTTGCTTCGGAGGAAGTCGTGGCGGATCCGCAGAACAGCCTGAATGGCCCGAGCAGTCTCTTCCTGCGAAGCATAGGCTGCGTCGCAGTCATCGCCGGGCTGAGGAGCACCAGCGGTCGCCCTGTTCATGAAAAAACAGAAGGCTGAGCTGATAGAGAAGCTTGGGATCGTAGCCTCCTCGTACATCTGCCCCCAATGCTCCCTCATCTCACGGTGCAGTTCCTGCGCGCGCTGGTGAACTTCATCGTCAAGCTCCTTGCGCTGTGGCGAAGGAGAGCGGCTCGGCGAGCTCCCCCAGTCGACTTCAGTCTCGGCTTTGTCTGGAGCGGTATCGCTGACGACGAAATCTCCTAAGGCAATCTTCCGCTTCTTTGTCTCCTTAGGCTGAGAAGCACCAGGGAGAGCAATGGCGATTGCAACAGCATCGTGGGAATCGTTGCGCATGCCACGGTCCATGTACGATGCGCCAACAGCGATGGGTTTGAACTGCGCAGTGGCCCCAGAGACCGCCACGCTGTCACCTCGGCGATCTTGTGGGCGCGCAAAAACGTCCCACAACTGCTCGTCATCAGTGTGGCGCTGCAAAGCAACGCGGGTCTGTGTGGACGTGAGGTTGTTGTCGCCGACAATGATGCGTACAACTGGCACGTCCACTTGCGGACCTTGAAGGCTGTCCAGGTGGAGTCGGAGGAGCCTGACCGCACGCTGTTTGGTCAGCACCGTGGGCGGCTTCGTTCCGCAAGCGATGTGCAGGTTGGCAGTAATCAAATGACTTCTACCATGGCCTTCTATTTGCACATCGAACCGTGTGATCGCAGCGTCCACAGGTCTCTCGATTCCGACTTGATGGATATACGTGTCTCCCTGCAGGGAAACATCGACAGGCTGAGAAGCACCGCCGAATCCCCACAGGCTGAGGCAGTTGTCAACCTCGGAGAAGCAGAGACTGTCGCCAAACGGTTTCGTCAGGATGTCTGCCGCGTCAGCCATCGCTTGGCTGAGGCCTTGCCGAAACGCACCGACTTCGCAAGCACATAAGAGATCAGCATCACCGTCCTGGACGATTGTGGCGCACACGCGGGCAAAGTTAGAGAAGTGAGCGCCAGACTTCCTCCCAGTCATCATATTCTGATCGAATCCGAAGTTGAAGGAGGCGATCGTGAAAAACGCAAGCTGAGAAGCACAGCGATCGGTCGCGGCCGCGGGCTCCTGTCGGCTTTCGTTCGCAGGCTGACAAGCACCACGAGAAGCTGACGCTGAAGATGCCATCGCAAGACCGGCGCGCTCTCACCACAGAAGCGTACCGTGGCAAAAACCCTGTAAGCCAAAGACAGCTATCATAAGCAAAAAGGAACAAGAGAGGAAGAGTTAGATGCCGCTCAGAACCTTGAAGAACCGAATTGTGAGGATGTCTGAAGGAACTGGAATGTTGAAGACAGAAGCTACGATTTTGTGAGAATGTTCGTTGGGATTTGCGCAGTGACGGAAGAAGACACAATTGGAAACACGATGGGAAACACGCGCCTGCCTCAGCCTCAGCCTGCCTCAGCCTCAACATCAGCTTGCCTCAGCATTCAAAATGTAGCCCGGGAGTGGAGTTCTGGGAACTCGAAGAACACGAAGTGGCCTACAGTTTGCTCCGGGCATTCAAAATCACGCCCAGGAGTAGAGTTCTGGGAACTAGAAGAACACGAAGTGGCCTACAGTTGGCTCCGGGCATTCAAAATCATGCCCAGGAATGGAGTTCTGGGAACTCGAAGAGCACGAAATGGCCTACAGTTGGCTCTGGGCATCCAAAATGTGGCCCGGGAATGAAGTTTTGGGAAATCGAACAGCACGAAGTGGCCTACAGTTGGCTCCGGGCATCCAAAATGTACGCCGGGAATGGAGTTCTGGGAAGTCGAAGAGCACGAAATGGCCTACAGTTGGTTCCGGGCATCAGAAAATGCACGCTGGGAATGGAGTTCTGGGAGCACCAAGAGCGATTTTGCGAGGATGTCCCAAACGATTTCGGCTTCGGCGGCAGCCGCGGCGGCAGCCTGTCCGGGTCCCGCCCCGACCCCCCTGTGGAGTCATCTGCTGCTCTCTTTTGAGACCACTAGAAACCTATCAGCAAGAGCTGTTAGGTAAAAATTAGAAGAATCGTCCCCAGACTATTGTTTGACTGGTTTGGAATACAGTCGGGGCGTTGACCTAAGGAACACTAAATGAGGAACGAGGCCCCTTTTTCCATAATTTAAACTTCGATTTCCGATCGAAAACATAAGGAAAACCTGAGCCATGCTGCGAAACACTTACGGAACGCGGAACCCCTCCCCAACGAAAAGGGTTCCTTCTTCAGGGCCCCGACTGTAGTTTCCTCCTGTAGAGGGACGTGCCCGACTTCAAGATCTCAGGGTATGTAACGAGGGTCTGTCAGCTATCGCACAACATCTCGGAAGGCCCGCGGGTCGACATTCGGGTAGTTCGGTGACCTCTGGTGCGCGGCGTGCTGGTGCCGTGCAGAGGCGGCGCGGCAGCAACCAGCGGCCTGCACGCTCAGGCTGGGCCTCCCCCCGCCCCCGAACACGAGCGCCCATGCGGCGTGCAGCCGGCAGGACGGCGTGCTGGGACAGCGCTGGAAGGAGGGGGCCCAGGGACACGCAAAACAACCACACACACACAAGTCCCAGAAGATCGGCCGAAAACGCCCAAGATAGCCCCAAGACCGTCCAAGAAGCCTCCAAGACGTCCCAGGCCCCCTCCAAGAGACCCCCAGGAAGCCCCAAGAGGCCCCCACGAGGCTTCCAAGCGGCCCCTCAGAGCTTCCCAAGAGGCCCACAAACTACCCCCAAGAGGCCCCCAAGAGCGCTCGTCGTCGTCGTCGTCGTCGTCGTCGTCGTCGTCGTCGTCGTCGCCATTCAGGGTCGGCGGCACCGGCCGTAAGGCCTTCGCAATACACACACAAGTCCCAGGATTCCCCATCTGTTTCCATATGTTTTGGATGTTCCTCTTCCCCCACTTCCCATCTTTTCGAATAGTGTCCTGGGAATCGACGATTCGTTATGCTTGTGTATTTTTTCCCTCCAGATCTAGAGCACCCGTGGACGCCCTGGAGCAACTGAAATAGCTGCATCCTCGGGAACGCCTGGCGTGATCAATCTCCTCCTCCCAACGTCGGTTTGTTTTTCGCGACGAAAGCACCCAAAGATCTCGACTCTGGACCTCTTCCCAAGGACGGCACTTGATCCTGAGTCAGAACCTCACCGTCCAGGAAGCTTCCTCATAGGGGGCCGGCAACACGACAACATACCGTCGCGTTTCCTGCTGCGGCGCCCGGCTCTGCAGGACGGCCCGCTCCGCTGCCGCCCACCCGCGGCAGGGCTGCCGAACTCCACCACGACCTCCTCCGTGAAGCGCGCGTGGTAGGGCCGGAAGATCCGCCGCCACGTGCCCGCCTCTGGGGCAGCCACACGGTGCCGAGGACTACCGCTGCGCCCCGGACCTCTCCTGGGACGCACTCTGACCAGAGTGCCGCTGCGAAGCCAGCGGTGGCAACGAGGGCCGCCCAGGAGGCCCCAGAAGGGGAGAGCGAGTCGGGTTGACCCAAGAGGGGGTCCAGCGACAAGGGGGGGGTGCAATAGACATGGTGCAATACATTTGGGGCGTGCAATGCATTGCGGGGCGCGTGCAATACATTTCGGGGCACAGATGTGTTGCTGCATTCCTGCAGTGCACTCGCCCGAAACCTATTGCACCACCCCCTCTCAGCTCCTCTCAGCTGGACCCTCTCTTGGGCTACCCAAGACGAGGGAAGGGCAACGGCATGGGTACCTTGTCCTCCTCCGAGCCTCGAGGCCCTCCGGCCACCGCGCCAGCGCGACGGTGTCCGGCCCAGGCCCGCCGCGGGCGGCACGCCCGGCCGCTCGGGCGTCGGCCGCGCCGCCGCCGCGGCCGGGGCCGCCGCGCCCGCGCTTGAGCGCGCCCGCGGGCGGGGCGGCGCTGGGCCGCTGCGGCATCGCGCGGGGGCGGCTCGGGCCAGTCATGGCACCAGCCTTGCTTGGTGGCGCGCACAAGGGGGTGGGGGGAGGGGGGAGGGCTTCTTAGAAGCAGGCTGCTTCTTAGAAGGCGCCAGCCTTACATCTGTAGATAAGGCCCGCGCCTTCTAAGAAGCAGGGGTGCTTCTAAGAAGCCCCCCCCTCCCCCTACCCCCCTCTGCGCGTGGCCGACCTGCAGACGTGCTGCAGCGGATTTTCTTGAGTTGATGTTTCTGCGTGGACTTTTTCCTGGAGCGGCGGGCGAAAGAGGAAGTGAGTTTCGCGTGGGCTGTTGTTTGGTCTTCATTCCTGGCATCAAAAATCGCACGTAATTCATTGCGAAATCTGAAGAGAAATTATCCAGGACACTCCCGGCCCACCCTATCGTTTTCCGAAAAAAATCCGTTCTGCGATGTTGGCGCCATGAGGCCAGTTCCGAGAAGGCCAACCCAAATACCAGAAGAACCACCATCGCCTTCTTCCGCTCTCTTCCGCTTTTTGTGGTCTCCTCAGCCCTCGTCCACATTATAGTATCATCATTCCTCCTCCCTCTGTCTCGCCCTCCTAGCTTCGGCTTCTCCTGCCTCATTTTTCCCGGGACATCTCCGCTGCCCTCTCCACCCCATCCTCGCCCAGAGGCCCCCAAAACGTCCCGAGAAAACCCCACGAGAGTCCCGAGGCGGCCCCGAGAGGCTCCCGAGACGGCTTCAGGAGAGCCCTTAGTGGGCCCTGGAAACAGCAGGGCCGTTTTTTCACCGCTTCCGAAAAAATGTACCTTGAAAATGGAAACGGCAAAAAAAACGGCGATCGGAAACGGCAATAAAAACGGCTCCAGGACTGGAGCCGGAGCGGGAACCGGTAAAAAAACGGCGACGGAACCGGTAAAAGAACGGCGTCGGAACCGGCAAAAAAACGGCAAATCGGAACCGTTACCAAAAACGGCCCTGTCGTTTCCAGGGCCCACTAACAGCTTCGCAACGTTCCGAAACGGCTCCAAGAGGTCCCAAAGCGGCACCCGAGAGGGCTCCACAGGCACCCAAAGAGGGCTCACAACAGGCCCCTGGGAGTCCAAGAGTGGACCGGGCGCTGCACACGGCCTGGACGTGCGCCCCGCGGCGCGGGGAGTGGGGCAACCAGAAAGGGGGAGGAGGAGGAGGAGAAGGAGGAGGAGGAGGAGGAAGAGGGAGGAGGAGGAGGAGGAGGAGGAGGAGGAAGACGGAGGAGGAGGAGGAGGAGGAGGAGGAGGAGGAGGAGGTTGGAGCGTCTGGGGGGGGCGCAGTCCAGCTCCAGCCTACTTACCACATCTATGCTTTACACATGCATCGTGCCTGACACTGCGATTTCGATTTGCAACGTCGTCTAGGTGCGCGCGCATCGAGGAGGAGGAGGGGCGGAGGGCAAGGAGGTCGGAGCGGCAGAGGAACGCGGGGAAGGGGCAAGCGCGGGCGGGCGGCAGCTCACAGCCCTCCTTCCGCACGGGGAGGGAGATGGCCTTGGCCTTCTCCTGGAGCGTCAGCAGGCCCAGCTCGTCGGGGAGCTCCATGGTCGCGATGTGCAGGCGCTGCTTCTCGGAGCCAGCGAGGGAGAGCATCGCGGCGCGGGCCTGCTTGGCGCTGATCACGCGCCCGAGGAACGGCTCGGCCACGCCCGAGTCCATGTCCCCCGGGACCTTGTCCAGGCCCTTGGACTCCATGGGGGCGCCGCTCATGCTGGTGCCCTTTTCAGTGCCCGCGCCGCCCACAAAAGGGCACTGGGCTCTGGCGGCAACGTCGTGGAGCTTCTCGCCCTGCTTCGCCTTGGCGGTGGACAGATAGGCCTTGGCAGCGGCGTTCGCGTCTTTCAGTGAAGCATTCCATCGTCGGTCAGCACCCGTACGACGGACAATCTTCTTTTTCTTCGCTTTAGCTTCGGTCTTCGGATTTGCTGCATCCTCCTTCGCAACGGCCTCGGCCTGCACGAGCAGCTCATAGGCCTCCGCCCAGGCCTTCTCCCCCAGAGGAACGACAACGCCAGGAGCGTCCGCAAGGCGATCGTCTGCGCCACGACCGCCCCCGCGTGGAGGATGTAGGTCGGAACGCACGTCAACCAGAAGAGGGTGATGATCAGCATGAACGGCATGGGCATCGTCGCCAGGAGGGGGAAGATCGTCTCGTACGTCTTCAGGAGGAAGGTCGGCCGGTTGGTCGGCAGCTGGATGAGGCTCGGCACGGCCATCCGCGCCAGGGGCGACCGCAGGAGGAACCGTCTTGGCGCCTGCGCCCGTCGTGGTCTTCTCCTCTGCTTCCTTCTTCGCTTTGGCCTCAGCGTTGGCGAAGGCCTTCTCAACGCGAAGCAGGCGCTCAACAACGGGAGTGACCGCCTCCACCGTCCTTCGCGCTATGACCTCCGCCGCCAGAGTCTGCGTCTTCGTGAACGCCTCCACCGCCTCCAGCCGCGTGGACAGCGCCTGGATCTGGAGCTGCAGGCAGTCCGTCGCGCACTCCTCGGCCTGCTTCCTCGCCGCACCCTCGAGCAGGGCCACGCGGACGCAGAGGTCGTCGAGGTCCAGGCCGAGCACTTCTGTCACATCCCCGTGCTCCTCCCCGCTCAGGGCGCCGAGGCGGCATCCAGCTTCACCACGTTGTGCAACACCACGCGGGAGGTGGGCATGCACGTCTGCATCTGGACCCTTATGTAGAGCAGCACCACGCGAGAGGTGGGCAGGAGTGAAATCATCAGGCACGCCAACATCTGGAACATCATGCAGATCAACGCCACGCGAGCGGTGGGCACGAAAGACAGCATCTTGCGGAACTGGAGGGGCCGCGCCTGCAACCACCCACGCTCCAGGGGCCAGCCAACCGGCAGGGGCGACAGGAATAGCTTGTTGCAGGCAGACCTGATGGCGGGTCGTTTGTGTGGCAGCATCAGTACGAGCACCCTGAGCCAGACTAGCGCGTGCGCGTCCAGTGGGATGTGCAACAGCAGCCATTCCGTGATGCTCCCAACGAAACCCAGCATCGTCACGGCTGAGGTCCGCATCAGCAGAAGGATCAGGAGGGCCAGGGTCGTCGGCTGCATTCGCCCACGGTGCCCACTTCGGCACGGTATTCACAAGCTTGGCGTGGGGTACCTGCTCAGCCACACCGTCCGTTTCGTGCTTGGCACGGTCGGCTCCTTCCAGGAGGCGGCGAGCTGCGCTGTGCTGACGCTTGTCCATGAGCCCAGCCCGCCAGGCTCGGTGCGCCGCCTGCTTCCCAGACGTGTGGGGCCGCCCCAGAGCGCGGTCCAAGCAGGCGTGGAGCGACTTGCCCTTGGCCATCTCCTTGATCGCCTGCTTGTCTTCCGCCGCCACCTCCAGGAAGCGCATGCCAGGCCTGGAATGCGCAACGAACCGGTATTGACTATCACGGGCACGACGCGCGGCCTGCGCCGCAGACAGCTCCAGTCCTCCCTACACAGCACTCACATATGATCGACAGCACGGCATGTCGTACAGGCCCACGCTGGAGTGGGAGAGAGAGCAAAAAGTCACGAAGGCAGCCACGGCGGCAGCAGCCCAGCAGCCATCGCGCGAGACGCCCACCCGCTGGTGGGATGCCGAGACATCTTGATGCATGAGCTCTTGAGCCAAAATGGCTACGGAGGAGGAGGAGGAGGAGGAAGACGGAGGAGACGGGAGGATGGAGGACCAGGAGGCAAGATAGGCTCGGCAAAGCGGAGGAGGAGGGGAGGGGAAGGAGGCCAGACCGGTCGGAGGCAGGATGGAGGAGGAACGGAGGAATTGACACACCGACCGGAGGCGTGGTGCAGGCCCAGAGGGGCGCCCGCCGCGAAAACAGATACAGCGGGGGTCGATCCACAAGAAATTTTCCACAAGAAACCAAACCCTGAGACCCCAGGACGTCCATCGTTTTTTGGCGTGGGAACGTCGCGCTTTCCATTGTGCAATCATCGAGAAGCAAAAAAACACAGGGCGCCCTGGAGGCAAGCAGGGTGTTTCTTGGCATGGGCCTCCACTGCAGATGGTCGAATCTCTATTCCTCAAATCTGATCACGCAAAGAATGTTTTAGCAAGTTTGCGTCTCTAGAGCTGCTTCCGATCGGAACATCTTCGCAGTGCTACTCCTCGGACCAGTCGTTCGGGTATTCGTTAAGATCTCGTGGAAGACTTCTCGGGGACGTGTTGGAGACAATTTCGAAGTCTTTCGGGCGCGATTGCTTCAAGCCTATGGGGACGTCTTTGGGCTCTCTTGGGGCCTCCTGGGGTTTCCTTGTGTCTCCAGGGGGTATCATAGGGCGGAAAGCTCGAATGGCTGGTTCGAACTCCCACTCGTAAACCACTTCGGGGGTCGTCTTTGGACTCTCTTGGGCTCTCTTTTGGGTGACCCTTGGGCCGTCTTAGGGGCTCTTCTCCTGTGGGCCTCTTAGGCTGCCTTGGGGCGGTCTTGGGGGCTCTTTGGGCCATCGGCAGAAGAATCGTGCATGCTGGACATGTACGCATCCGAAAGGAATAGGGCAATCTTGGCGTCTTGGGGCGCTCTTGGGAGTGCTCTTGGAGGCTTCTCGGGACGTCTTGGGGCCATCGTGGGCGTCTTGGAGCGGTTCTTCGAAGATTCATATCTCTCTTTGGACATACTGTTTTTGTTTGGGATGCCTCCTGGCCCGCTTTGGAGGGGCCCAAGATCCCTGCCACCGGCAGGGGGGCCTGGAGGTTGCTCTTAGGGCCCCCAGACTTGCCCCGGGTACATGCGCATGCCTGTATGTATTTATGTATGCAAGCATGCACGCGTGCAGGCAATGCATATATACATATATATATGTAATAAATGAACACATTGAGTAATGTAGCAGCCTCTGAAACAGATGCGCGGCAGAGGCAGAACACACACTCGAGATCACTGCCAGGGGAAGGAGGACACGCGTTTTCATGCTGGATGATACTGTGGAAAATAAGCGGAGGAGGAGAGTGGGGGGATGGGGATGGAGAAGAGAACGTGAGCGAGGAGAAAAAAGCGAACGCGAGGGGGGTGGAGGACGAGGGAAAGGGAGGAAAAGGACGAAGAAAAGTGCACGTCTCCTGGGGGGCGCAGTCCGACACCCAGCCTCAACCGGGAGCGGCCATCGCGGCGTGCCTCGCACGCAGTGCAGAAGTGTAGCTACTTTCTGAATGCCGCTGCCGCGAAAAGGATGAAAAAGGAGGAGGAGGAGGAGGAGGAGGAGGAGGAAGAGGAGAAGGAGAAAAAGGAGGAGGAGGAGCAGGAGGAAGAGGAGGAGGAGGAGGAGGAGGCAGGTGGAGGTCGCAGGAGGTCCCTGCAGCCGACCGGGTCGATGGTCTCCGTGGCGACGTTGACCTCCGTGCTGAAATTCAAGGCCCGCTCGCGCCGCGAGGCGGTCACTGGCGCCCGCCCGCGCTCCTCGCGGGGAGGAGCGCTGGACAAGGTCGGCCGTGCCGCTCGCCGCCGTCGCCGCCACGACCGCTCCTCGCCGGCTTGGGCGTGGCTTAATGTGGGGGTCATAAACGGGGGGGTTAGGAAATGTCCCCTTTCGTGCCCCTTTCGGGCCCCTCCAGAGCCCCAGGGGGCTCGTTTAGGTACCGTTTGGGTACCTTTTCGAACCGCCCTTGCCACCCCCCCATTTATGACCCCCCCATTACGCGGCGCCCAACCGGCGCCGTCGCCGCCAGCGCCGGTCGCTGTCGTCGCCGCCGCCCTCGTGGTCCATCCTCTCGGCCTCCCTCCGCACGGACCGCCCATACACGAGGGGGCGATCCCTCGCACGCGCGGGCGCGCGCCCGGGACAGGTGCTGCACCCGTGAGGCGGTCCACGTGAACATCTTCTGCGCCAGCCAGCTGAACTGCTTGGTTTGACGCGGCCGGGGCCCCAAGAGAGCCCCAAGACGGCCCTAGAAGGCCCAAGATGGCCCAAAGAGCCCCCAAGATGGGCCCCAGAAGCCCCCAAGAGGCCCCAAGGACGGCCCAAACGGGTCCCAAGATGGCCCGAAAAGGCTGACAAGTCGGCTCAAAAGGCACCGAAGACGGCCCAAGAGAATTCCAAAACAGCCAAAGGCGGCCCAGAGAGGCCCCCAAGACGGCCTCTAAAGATCTCCGAAGGGGCCATGCAGCGCAATAGCGCCTCAAGACGGCCTAAGACGCCCCCCAGAGGCCTCCAAAAGGCCCCCCAAGAAGCCTCCAAATGGCCCCAAGAGACCTCCAAGAGGCCCTTGGCCTTGCATACCTAAGAACGGCTCGTTGTTGCCATGCTCAGCGGAGTTTGAACTTGGCGTTGCCTTGTGCTGGCTCGCGGTGAATGCTCAGTGCATTCGTGGACGTTCGCACGCTCGTCCCGGCGCTGAAGGGGGGGGTTTAAAGGGGGGGGGGGCGGGCAGAATCCGACTCCCCGCAGCGCTGGCAGCGCCCCAAGCGTGCAGAACGACACGGCAGAACTCCGCGGCAGACGAGCAGGCCAGCCGCCCAACGCCCAGTCTTTACGTTCTCCGGACGTGCTCCCCGCGAAGCGAGAGGCATCGCCTGTCTGTCACAGACCACACAGGAGTTCTCGTAACATGCGTGGGTGGGCACAGCGGCAGGCCAGGCTCTGAGGACGGCAAGCTGAGACAGTGGCGGCTCCCCGCCAAACCCAAATCCGCTCAGGACCAGTCCCCGGACCCCTCCCAGGGTCCATCCAGACTCGCTTGTCGACGCGGGTCCACGTTTGGCGGCGAGACCCCTCCAGGAGACCCACAAAGGAAGAGAACATGCCAGGGAGGGCAGGGCCGCCTTTGTCTCCACTGGCCGCCCTCGCCCGCTTACCGGATGTTATTACCACACGTCTTGGTGGGCACACCGGCAGACCCGTACGCTCCGTCGCTCGTCGAGTGCTTAAAGAAATCTGCTGTCCCCTACATGGAAATCTCTGACCTTACCTTTGTTTTCTGCTGCACCGGGATCCGGCCACCACTTTGCTGCACTGCTCGGGATCCGGTCCCGATCACCTTCCAGGCCTACATGGTGGAGTCCTCTACCCATCAGTCAGGATGCGGGCAATTTTCATCATCAAGTCTTTGCGCTGGAAAAGAGAGAAATCTCTGACCTTCTCTTGACCTCTCTGGATGCGCCCTGACAGATCTGGCTTTTGCATCGCTTCATCAGGCTTGATCCCTCTAGTACGATTGGAGAACACATCGTCAAGCCCTGATGGCAACCCCACCCAGCCAGCTGTGACCACTCTTGAGGGGGAACGACAGGGGGGACCGGCTCACAGGGGGAACAAACATCGAGCTGGAATCGGCGACGCATCGCCGATCGATCGGCCACGGGCCCCCGATGAGAGCGAGTCCACCCGTTCCTGGGCGGGCTTGGTATCGGGCCCCTGTCCTCGATGGCTGGGCGATTGGGGGTCGAGGCGCTCTCTCTCTCTCAGCCTGTCCCCGGCCAACGTTGCCCCTGACCTATCCCCACAAGACGACTGGAGAACAAGAGCCGTCAAGCCATCGGAACGTATGTTGAATGAATTCAAAGGCGTTGCTCTCGAGTGCATCGAAAACCTGTCTTGGAATCCATTCAAAAACAGTTCTATACGTTTTGAACTCATCCGACAACAATGCCAACGGAATCGTGGGGGATATCCTCTCGCCAGGGTCTCTGTCTCCCGTTCCACAACCCATCTTTTGGCGTCAGCTTGAGCCCGCCAAGGCCGATAGCGGTACTTGAACTGCACCGGACGCTTGATAACAAAAACCATATATTCAAACATAACCCTAACTGTGGCGACCCTGCGACGGCAGAATTGGACGCCCGAACTGGGTACGGAAACCGTGAGTACGATGCCCAACAACACATGTTGTGCAAAATTGAGAGCGGCCGCTGTTGGGCAGGCGCCCTTCTGTCCCGAATGGACAACATCCACGGAGACGTCGGCAGCGAGTCCTGTCATGAATGAACCAGAACGACCGCCGGTCCTCGTATCCATTCTTTCCGTACCATGCTTTGAGCAGGGACCGACCGTCCCGGCATTCCGATAGTCATACCACGACGTGTTCTTAGAACCCACAGGTGTTCGAAAAACAAAAGCATTCTTAGAACATAAACCCGATGTGTTAAAACGAGACAGTCCCAGCCAGAAATGTTCTAAGAACATTTCGTGGGAACCACACAAGGTTCTTAGAACATTGTTTGGTAGGGCTATAGACGAGCCAGGACGCTCCGCCACTGCTTGAATGCAGGTCGTCCCGAGAAGAGGCTCGAGCTCGACGGACCATGCGCCCGGCGCGCCGCTCCCGCCGCTCCTCCTTCAGCTCTGCGAGCGGCCCCTCCGGCGAGGCCCGCTGGGAGCCGGCCCCCCTCTTTCTGTGCTGTGCTGCCCCTCGGATGTGCGGGGCGCGAAGGGCCGCGACGGTGGGCCAGGGCGACAGGCTGCCTCCTCCTCCTCCTCCTCCTCCTCCTCCTCCTGCTCCGCCCCCTCCTCCTCCTCCTGCTCCTCCTCCTCCTTCTCCTCCCTCCTCCCTCCTCCTACCACATATTCCTACTATTCGTCCTCCTCCTCCTCCTACTCCTCCTCCTCATCCAATTCCT